TGCATGCTTACATCCATACCATATAACTCACTCCCTATGGGTTAGCACGAACCACAAGAAGACGCTAGGCCGCTACATTGCACTGACTTTTTGCTCTCCTCCTGGGTAGCCTGGAGCCCAAGTATATTATCCACTAAGGAACTACTTAAGGCGGCCCCGGTAGAATCCCTAGCGACCGGACTTAGCGATCAAAACTTGGACAGAGAAGGGGGCACTCAAGGTGCGAGACCTGTTACAGGGGGATGATATGAGAACCTTCCCGGCTCTCCAATTAAAATATTCCCTGACACCAAGAGAACTATTCTTACATCTCAGAGTAAAAAACATATTGACGAACCGACTAACACTAATTTGCAACAAGCCCCAATTGGATGTGATGCCCCTCCCTCTACTGCTCTCTCCGAACCAGTCAAAGCCCCTCTCACTCTGCTACAATGCTATCCTGGGGGGTCCGGCTCATGTGAAACTATCATACATGTCTCAGTGGGAGAAGGAATTGAGTATGAAGTTCCCCATAGAACAATGGCACGAAGCCATGGCAATGACAAAAAAAGCCTCCAGAAGCCTTTCGCTATGGGAGGCATACTGTAAGATAGCTATGAGATGGTATTTAGTACCGCACAGACTAGCCCACATGTACCCAGGGACTTCTGAGATCTGCTGGAGGTGCAACAGAGGGGTAGGAACAATGCTACACATGTTCTGGGAATGCCCAGACTTACAAAACTATTGGGAACAAGTAGAATCAATAATCCTAACCAAAACACAAGTGAGACTAGCACGTAAGCCAGAACACTACCTGCTGCACATGCTGCCCGCATTGGTGTGACACCCCCACAAAAAAGTGATCTTAAACATACTGACATTATCCAAAGTCAATGTAGTGCTGCATTGGAAAAGTAAAACAACTCCCTCTGTGGCAGTCGTTAAACAAAAACTAGACGTAATTAGCTCATATGAACACATAGCCTATCGACTCCAGGGATGTGAAGAAAAATTTGCAAAGGACTGGGGATGATGGATATCTGTATAAGTTGCGATAAACACCAATAGAGCAGAACTGTTGAGAGGTCAAGAAGACCAAGGTAGTCAAACTAAATGATGTATGATAACTGAAACGCTGTCAAATACTGTGTTGCATGAACTCAACCCCCTCCCCCTTTTTTCTTTCTGGAAACCCACCCCCTCTCCTTTCCCCTATGTTCATGATAAAAAACGAACTGTCACGCTTATGTTAGAGTATCATAAAAAAGGACAGCACAGCTAGAGAAGATGAAAACATAGGTGGCAAGGCATGATGGTGGAACACTACTTATCAAATAACCCGACGAGATGATAGTACATGTATGCCAAACAATAAGTATGCTAAATCCACATGTTAACCTATGTTATGTTATTTAACGCTCACCCATATATGCATGCTGTACCTGTCCTGAAACCAATGTATTTATGTACCACTGTGATGACATTTCAATAAAAATTAAAGATGAAAAAAAAAAAGAAAACAGACAGAACGTTCATTATAGGTATGTTAAATTCCTTAAGGACATTGGGGAGAGGCGAGAGAAGAAAAATGGGTGACTCTTGTGTAATATGTTTGTCAGCTCATCATAGAACATGACCCCACTTTCTTGTCTGGCTGTAATGTGAGATGTGGGCAGACCAGGGTTAGGCTTTTACCTCTATTCAAAAAGGTATTGTTAGATGTTTTTGTTGTTGTTTTCGGATAGAGAAAAAGGTTGTGTGGTGTGATGAGGAATTTTCTACTACTATGGCTGTATGATAAAACTGGCTCATGTATAGTGCTGATTTAATTTGAGCAGTGCTAGCTTAATTAATTTAAAGTAACACAGTGAATGAGGTATACAGAACCAAAATGAGAACAATATTTAAACCTTAGTGGTACTGGTTCCTGTGTTCCTGCACACTGTGCAGCACGGCCCCAGGAAACCAATCTGATGGCCATCTGAGGAGTGGCTACTTGAGCTTTCTCCAGAGGGCAATGTAAACACTGCCTTTTCTCTGACAAGACATTGTTTATATCAAAATGCCTGCAGAGAATAATTATACTCACCAGAACTACAACATTAAACTGTAGCTATTCTGGTGATTATAGTGTCCCTTTAAATCATTTTTTTAGGCAGCCCTAGGCACACCTCCCTGCATGTGACTTGCATGGCCTTCCTAATTACTTCCTGTAAAGAGTTTTACAGTAAACTTTTTTGCACATTCTGTTTAATTTTGAATTTCTTACTTTTAAAGTAAGTTACATTTGATTGAAAGTGAAGCCATTTTGTTTTCATACAGACTGTGTCAGTCACAGGGATGGTTTGGCTAGGGCTGCATAAACAGAAACAAATGTGATTTAACTCCTAAATGACAATGGATTGAGCAGTGAGACTGCAGGGGCATGATCTATGAAGGGTCGTCAACCTGGTCCCTACCACTTACTAGTCTGTGAATCAGGCTTTATGGTGGGTGGTGGTGGATTCTTTGGCACACGGCCTGCTGTGAGCCCTCTCTGGCCCGCTGGCACTTAATTCCAGCAGAGGTTGACAACCCCTGATCTATAAACTAATATTGTTTAATTAAGCTAAAGTTGTCTTGGTGACTATAGTGGTCACTCCCCACCTTGCCGTTCTCTTTCTCAACCACATGTGGATCATGCCTTTCCTACCCTTCAGACCTTCTCCCCAGCTACTGAACAAGAACAAGAGGTGGCTGCGCTTCTCCTTTCCTCTCGCCCCACCACTTGCTCTGTCCTGGTCTCCTTCTATTTTCTCTTTATACTGCCTCTCTTGGCAAAATTATACCCTCATTTTGATTCCACTACCACCTGTACACTGATAATACCCAGATATATCTCTCCTCCCCAGACCTCTCCTCTGCGTCATGCAACGTGTCACTGCTTGCCTTTCTTCCTTCTCTGACGATGTCCTCCCGCTTTCTGAAACTCAATCTCTCGGAGCTCCTTGTCTTTCCTCCTCCTAGTACTGATCCTCCTCTTTCGCTCTCCTTTCAAGTTAATGGTATCCACATAAGTCCATCCTTGCAAGTGTGCTGTCTTGGCGTCATACTTGATTCTGGCCTCACCTTTGAGCCTCACATCTAGTATGTTGCCAAATCCTGTAGACTTCATCTTAAAAACAGCCCGCATTGGCCCCTTTCTTACGGAAGATGCTACCAAGGAGCTTGTACATGCTCTAGTAATTTCCAGCATGGAGTATTGTAACCCTCTCCTAATTGGTCTCCCCAAAAGCCGTATTGCCCCACTAAAGTCTGTAATGAATGCTGCCGCCAGACTGATTTTCCTCTCTAGTCGGTCCTCTCACACCTCTCTCCTCTGTCAGTCCTTACATTGGCTTCCTGTATTCTATAGGAGTCAATTCAAAGTGCTAACCCATACCTATAAAGCACTGAACAATTCTAGCCCCTCTTATATCTCTCCACAGATCCATAGGTATGCCCCTTCTCGGTCTTTCCACTCTGCCGAGGACCTTCTCTTCTCCGCTGCTCACACCCATACGGCCACCTCACGCTTGCAGGACTTCTCGCGGGCTGCTCCCTTCCTATGGAATAGCCCGCCTACCGCCATCAGACTCTCCCCTAGTCTTCAATCTTTTAAGAAGTGTCTTAAAACCCATCTCTTTAGGAAAGCTTATGGCCTCCCAGAGTAACCTCTACCTCTAATACCTGTCTCTTGCTCTCTCCTAATGGGCAGCACTTTTTAAAGCACTACGGAATCTGTTGGCGCTTTATAAATGGCAATAATAATAATATAATATAGTGTTCCTTTTAGGACATTGGGACGTTCCATGCTGCCCTAAAAATCGAAACCTGGGATTATCCTCTGGCAGCTGGGGCCATATTCATAGGACTCAGACTGTACGATGAGCACCCAAAATGAGCATTCATACAGCCCTTTAAATCTATTTAAATTAATGCTTTTGCATTCGTCCACAGTGATTACAAGCTTTTTCCCAGACATGAGGAGACCCCCCCGGGTCTGAAAGAGCTCTGACAGTCTCACTGCATACATGCTTGCTGATTGTGAACAGCGTTCGGCTTTTCCAGCTGCCCTGCACTTATGTCTGTGATCAGTAGGTGCTGTAATCACACAGGAGATTAAGGTAAGGGTAGGTGCCTGTTTAGTGTAAGCACAGGGTTTTAGAGGTAGGGTTGGTATAGACATATGATGGCATTTAACAATCAGGACTGATACATTAATCTATTTTGAGTTATTTTTCTTTAGTTGCACTTGATGTGTAAAATGTATTATAAGTAAAAAAAAAAATTCTCCCAATTTTTTACATTTTATTCATACTTAATGTAATTTTAGGTATATATGTGGTATATTTTAAAATAAATCAATTTCTGTCTTTTAAATAACAATATATAATATGTGTGGCTGCACTTAAAGTCAACCCTTAAACTATGAATGAACAAACACACTGCACAAATTCTAGGTTTTGTTGTGGATGAGGAGTTGGACAATTGCATCCTTTCTTAACGGGTTAAAGATCCCGAAGGCATTTTTAGCAATACAGCTTCCTAAAGATGGCAACAGAATGTAAAAATGTCTACATTTGAAAATAATGCCCATATACAGTGAATACAGTTCAATCATATATTTCTGAAATAAGGGTATAATAATGCCCATATACAGTGAATACAGTTCAATCATATATTTCTGAAATAAGGGTATTTAAACTGCCATAGCAATCTTTTTCACTCTCTGAAATGCTATTAAAATTTCAACAGCGAAATGGTAGAATCCATTCACTCCTCCCCCCTCTCTGACTGTAGAAATGATATGACCCATTGAAACTTCCGTTAGTGTTTGGAACAGAGGTTGAACAGTCATTTTTAGTAAACAATACCCATGTCACCTTACACCTCTCCCCATGTATAATATTGTGTGCATTCAAACTGTTATACTCAACATATAAATTGCATTGGTTGATCTACATTATTGCTAAGATCGATCCCTTTTAAATCGTTTACTTTTGCAAGCTACTAATGCACTCCTTACGCGTCTCCCAGATACAGTTTTGGCCACACTTGGTTGACATGTCCCGTGCTTGTTTTGTGACTCCACAGAAGGCGCTGGAGATCGGGAACTGGTAGGGGTTCATAGCGTTGCTGATGAGCAGCCATCCTGAATAGAAATGACCATGTTATTCATAATAACAAATATTAAATCCACTGTTTTATAAATTATTCTGTTATCTCAGTTATAGTGCATTTTCTGTTTTCCTACCACTTTCACACAGTACAGCGTCCTTCTGCTTAGTTTTCTTAAATAGTACTCCCCATCTTCATTAAAAAGAAGGGGAGGAGGGGGGGTTGGATAAGTAACAGTGGTTCTTCCAGAATTTCAACTGACATATTATTTATGCATCTCAATTGGGAAAGTTCGCTGTCTCCATGCAAAGCGTGGAGATGCTGAACGTCAGTGCTGCACACTAGAGATGTTCATAGGCTGTAATGTAAACACTGTTTTTCTCTGAAATAAAAAAAAAAATTTTTTTTTAAAAACAACAAAAATCCTGTGCAAATAAGAAATTAAAATGCATTAAATTCAAAATCAAATCATGTCATGTTCCCAAAATACCACATATTATAAAGCAGGATAATATAAACATCAAATGAGAGGAGACTTTTAGAGAGAGAGTATTTTATGCCTAGAACTTTTTTATATTGTTTGGAGAGTTATTAAGGGGATAACACAAGGGCCATTATGACTTTGTATTATTGACAGTGCATAGACCGCTTTACAGCCTCTCTCAGCTCTGCGGATGGATTACAAGTACATTGATATGTAGAAAGCTCCAAATTGTCAATCAGGCAGTATGTGATTAGAGTTCCAGGCTGTCTATGTCTACACTCCACATGCACAACTTGTGCTGAGCTTGCTGAACCTTGAATAAGAGCTTTGCCAAGAGCTGGATTAAGGTTGCCCAGAGTACCAAGGCAGTGTGCCACATTGGAGCCATCTCCTAGTGCCCTGAGCTCTGTTTCTATGATTGAAAATAATTAAAGTCCTTGCCAACAGCCTTGGACAAAGTGTCTCAAACTCAGTACCCCCTCCCACCCCTGAAGGGTGATGTATGTCATAGCTGTATGTAGTATTCATATTGTGTGTTGGCTGTATGTAGTAAGTGTGTGTTGTGAACTTGCTGTATGTAGTAAGTATTGTGTGCTGGCTTTACGTCATTCATGTGCATGTGTTGTGTGCTGGCTGTATCATTCATGTGCGTGTGTTGTGTGCTGGCTGTATGTCATAGGTGTCTGTTGTGTTCCGGCTCTATGCACTGTGCGTTTTGTGTGTGTGTCTGTGTTGTGTGTTGCCATTGTGTAGTATTTCTGTGTTGTGTGTTGCCTGTGTTTAATGTGTATGTGTAGTGATGTTTGTGTGTAGTAGGGATGTGTGTAATGTATGTTGGCTGTGTGTATATTTGTGTATACACTTATATCTATGTTTTGTCCCCCTCATGGTCACCTTTCTGCAGGGCTGCAGGGAGGGGGCTATGAATCCTAGTGGTCCAGCAGGGGTTAAAAATCCCTGAGGGTGTGTGCGTTAATTCTCTGCCTGTGCCATGGTGGTCCATGGAGGGGTTTAAGTCTCCTTGGTGGTCCTTGGCTGGTGTCCAGTGGGCAAGCTTGCTGTTCCATTGGGTACATACCTCAGTAATGTACAAACCTGTACACTTTAGTGTCCTTGCCGCCAGTTAGATAAATTCCCCTCCCCCCCACCCCCCGATCTGTGCAAAAAAAATTTTTTAATTTTTTTATTCTTTCCTTTTTAGAGTGCTGAGGCTCCTTTAGTGCTACTTACGTCCCTGCATCCCATGTCATCATGGAAGAGGCATGGCCGCCTTCACGTTTGTCCAATTCAGAGCATTGATGACCTAATGTTCATGCGCAACAAGTACCGAACGTGCATCAATGCTTTCCTATGGGACTTCCACATCATGTGACTTGGTCCATACTGCAGAAGCACCTCTAGTGGCTGTATGAGTATAACAGTCACAGGTGGACTTAACGCTACAATGTAGACATGTAAAAAAAAGTGGCAATGCTTTAGATCAAGCATGTCAAAATCAAAGGCTAGCACGGGCCAAATAAACAAGGTTTAAATTTATGTGGGCTGTAAAAAAAAAAACAACCTTAAATATTCATGGAAACATAGGTTTATTTAGAAAACAAAGTATAAATAGAAAACAGCATCCCCCTCTACTAAACCCCAGCACCCTTCTATACTAAATCCCAGCCCCTCCTCTACTAAATCCCAGCCCCCATCTACTAAATTCCATCCCCCCTCTACTAAATTCAGCCCCCCCATACTAAATCCCAGTCCTTCCCTCTACTAAATCCCACTGACTTTAGTGATTCTTTAAAACTAAAATGAAAACTGAGCTTTTGATAAACAGCATGGTTTTTCGAACAGTTCTACTCCTCCTAAGAGATGAGTAAAACGGTTTCTGGGGTATAAACTACTGATCCCATAAGTTATTGTTGGTAGCTGTTTATGGGATAAGATCAGCCTGTATGAAACACTCCAATCCTTTTCATTTTAACGACTTTGTTTAATAAATTACCTATATGGATTAAAATGGTGAGCCAATTTCTACTTAGTTTCTCTTTACTTAATGAGATTGCACGTGAAGTGGTCTGGGTGCCAGATCCCCCAGGTTTTAACCCTTCAGATGTAAACTGCTATGTTTACATTGCAGGGTTAATCCAACCTCTAGTGGCTGTCTTCCTGACAGCCGCTAGAGGCGCTTCTGCGACGCTGGATGCGGAAATCGCATTCAGCGTGCAGAATGTCCATAGGAAGGCATTGAGAAATGCTTTCCTATGGACTGTTTGAACGCGCACGCGGCCCCTGCCGCGCATGCACATTCCACTCCACTCGGGAGCTGACTTCGGCAGGGGAAGAGAGGTCACCAGTGCCAAGGGAGCCCAGTGCTGGATTAAAGTAAGTAACTGAAGGGGTTTTAACGCCTTCAGCACCAAGGGAGCCAAGGGAGGGGGGGGGACGGACCTAAGGGTTATATAGTGTCAGGAAAATGGGTTTGGTTTCCTGACACTATCGTGATCCTTTAATCTACGTATTATAAACAGTAAACTGGTTGATGATGAACTGTATTTACTTTTATAATTATTTGAACGCACTCTTGCCAACACACAGGGACACATATCACACATATCAGGGACACAAAGTCACATATTGCATTCTCTTTCTGTGGTGTATTAAGTCCACAATAGAAGTGATGACTCTATGACATCACTGTGCTTATTTCCCAGTCACAGTAAAGAAGATGACAATGCTTGTAAGTGATTCATGACCGAATAAATGAGCAATTGCCAAAGACACTTATCCTAACTGCCTTTTTATGGCTTGTTATGCCCTACCTCATCATGATGATACAAGTGATTGTTTAGGTGATAACCTACATTTACAGTAGTGCACAGACATCTAAGTTTTGTGGGTTCTGTCCATTGATATCAATGTGACAAGAATAAATTTTTTCTTTTAAATTACCAATTTGGAAAAACAGATCTATAGTTTGGCTATTCAAGAAAGTGAAAAGAATACTGGATACCCTGAAACAGGGAAAAACCAGTTAGGGTGTGTATCTGGGGCGTCCAAAATAGGGGGTAACCCTTACTTATATGTATAGCAAAAAAGGAAAACTGACCAAGGAGGTCAGAACTAGGAGGATGCCCCCTGGAGGATTGTCATATGTTTATGTGCAAATAAAACATAACCTTTAATAATTTTACATATAAAAGCTTCTGTCCAATGAGGAACAAAAGAATACGTTAAAAAAGAGTCTGGATAGGTCAGATAAATAATTCTAATTGGGATGTGCAAGCTGAATTTCACATCTAATGAATCCTAAGGTGAAAAGGACATACACAGAGCCCAATAAATAGCTGAATCAAATCTATGATGCAAATAGGAGGCAGCTAATAAAAAAGTAAGGCTGTCACTATGTTGCTAGGTTAGCCCTCTCTCAGTGAATGATAATATGATTTGGTAGAATATTGCTACATAGGATGCAAAATAGCCACCTTGTTGATTAACGCTGAGAGATTGTTACAGTCTTACTAGAAAATGAGCTAGACAGGAATCATGCCTGATGTAGTAAAAGTTCTGCCTCTGCAGCTGTCAGAGGGCAGTGCAATAACGACAGCAACGTGGAGATTTTATAAATAATGGTAAACCTCCATCAGTATGCCAGCAAGCTTGCCTAGTCCCCAAAATAATCAAAGTGGGTCGACTACCTAGATCACGATAAACTAATAAAGAGAACTGCCTATCACTTTAGCATCTCGAAGTCAGCTGTCTAGCCTGCCTAACCAGACTCAAAATCCTGCTACCTAACACGTGTTTCGGCGCTGCAAAAACGCGCCTTCGTCTGAGGCTCTACAGGCGTCCTCGGGAATCCGGTGGCTAATTTATATCTATATTCAGCCAATCAGCTGGAGGAGTGTTCGCGCCAAAAGGGGGAATAGTCCGGACATAGTCACGCCTACCTGATGACGTATCATCAAAGTCCGGAGTGATAACCCCCCCCCCCCTGGTGGCACAATGAATTAACTGATTCGGCACATATTAATTGATGTATGTGTATAGTAACCCCTTGTGTGCTAAAGTAAATACCAAGACAGTAATAAGATGTCCAACGAAATATAGGCTGGAGTACATAGAGTGAGAATCAGATGGAGATTTAGAAAAGCTTAATTTAGCAGCAAACAAATTATGTATATAAGCATATAAATGTACTGCAATATCTAAATCACACAGAAACAAAACAATGTAAATCTATTAATTGTACCTTGATATTTTCCTAGTCAAGAGATCCCTTTCCACAAAAATCAGATAAAGGAAAAAAGTGACTAGTAGTACATTATAATGAAATATTAATGAGTACGGGCACTACATTTATGATCCTGTATCCAGTATTAATTTAGGGATATATATTTAATATTTAATAGTGGGGTATCACATATTGTGCTTAAATTGATGAATCAGCTGTCTAGGGAATTTGCGCCACCGGTATCCAAAGGAAAAAATAATAATAAAAAAATTTAAAAAATGAAATGTATTCAATCTTTTATAACTTTAGTAAATGACAAACATAAACTGTATATATAAACGTATTAACATTATTATATATACGTTTATATATACAGTTTATGTTTGTGACAGCCTTACTTTTTTATTAGCTGCCTCCTATTTGCATCATAGATTTGATTCAGCTATTTATTGGGCTCTGTGTATGTCCTTTTCACCTTAGGATTCATTAGATGTGAAATTCAGCTTGCACATCCCAATTAGAATTATTTATCTGACCTATCCAGACTCTTTTTTAACGTATTCTTTTGTTCCTCATTGGACAGAAGCTTTTATATGTAAAATTATTAAAGGTTATGTTTTATTTGCACATAAACATATGACAATCCTCCAGGGGGCATCCTCCTAGTTCTGACCTCCTTGGTCAGTTTTCCTTTTTTATTCAAGAAAGTGACCAATTCCACTGTTTTGAATTAGTATATTAACAACATAAGGACACAGGACATGTGTGACGTGTCATGATTCCTTTTTATTCCAGAAGTTTGGTCTTTAAGGGGTTAATATTTGTTCCATTTGGTCCATCTAAGACTAGACACATAGTGCTAGGAATTTAAAATCGTGGTTTGTCAGCTTACAAGTCATAAAGGAGTGGTCCACGTATCCCTAAACAGAGACTAATTCAGAAGCAGATACTGCTTTATTAAACTGATTGATTAAACGTAAAAAGGTCTGCTGTTCCTGTACCAGCAGAACTGCTGGCAACATACAGTGTGAACTACATCTCCTGTCATGCTCTTACAGCAATAACACTGAAAATGCATCAGGGGAGATATAGTTCATAAGATACGGTGCTGAATGTTGCCTACCTCTGTAGTATAAAATAAGTTAGCTAGCCCTCCCTACACATCCCCTTCATCAGTTTAAAATGCGATTTTTACCGCAGGTCTGCATAACACATGGCGATGACCAGGTGGATCTATTTTTTTTTTAATATGATTAATTGCGATTATGATTAATTGCAAAAGATCATGTTGGCATCAACGTTACCTTGAACTAATCACATGCCCATCCATAAATCAGTGAGCTCAGAGTTGTTCTTTCTCTTTTTTCTTTGTCCAGAGCACAGTGCCAGAAAACAGCATGAGGCACAGCCAAAACATATGAAAGCACAAGGATGCACACCACAAATAGATTATCAAGTTCAAAAGCCAGTCTTTATTATTTAGTGCAAAACAACTATAATGACATAACAGAGAATCTATACAAAAAAATAATGTATAGGCTGAATGCATACTGAATGTATGGCATACATGTAAATAGAATGTATGTGATATATGCATGATACTAAATCAGGGAGTTATCCAAGCCCTTTTCTTAATGTTGTCCTTTCAGTTGTTTAGTAGATAACTCCTTAATTTGTTATCCTTATGTGGGATTGTTATAAGGGTTACCTATAGTAAATGGCGCGGATCTTGATCAAGAAGACCCTATTCTGTGTGCAGCGCTCGCAAGATTCAACAGAAAAGGCAAAGACACTGGTTTTCTTGCTTATTAATACCGTGGCTCAGCTGTCCCCTGTATATCTCATATGGCATCTCAAGCCCTTCATGCACTCACCATGCAAGAGGCCCTTCTGGATGACCGTAGCCAGAGCAACAATGTCAAAATCAGAGGAATCCCAGGAAGCAATTGCAATGGAGGAACCGGTGACACCAGCTTATGGTGTCTTTTCTCCCTCCGAGCCATGCTGATAAGATCATTTTCCATGGAGCCTATCTTACAACCAAATCTTCTGCCATGTGTGATGTCATCAAAAGATACCCCGCATCCTTTGATAAACGTCAGTTCATGGTGGCTACATTTCACCGCAACACGCCTTACTCATTTGAATTCTCACATCTCACTATATCACACCCTTACTAGATCCACACTTCAATGGAAAACGTCATTGCATTCTGTAAAAGCTGTAAGCAGCCAGTATGGAGTACCGATGGGCAACATTCTAGGCCCTCTCTGTCACCCACTGAAAATGTAATCTATCAAAGAGGCTCCTTATTTACAGCATTAGGTCTTGTGGTGCCAACATTGGAAGCCAATAGCCCTACTCCTAGCACCCAGCCAGTCCTCTTTATACATAGAAGAGGAGAGGACTCATTCTCGGGGACCTGGTCTGAGTTTGTGTAGGAGGCCTGAGACTCCCAAGATGATCCGTCTTATTTTTGTTTGTTTTATTGTTTTCCTGTTTTACGCTATGTTTATTTAGTTCTCTTTCATACCATATTATGCATGTTTCCTATTTAGCCTTGTGCCTGTATGTAATGTTCAGCTATGGTCTCCATAGTTTGCAGTATATCCCCCCCCCCCACTACCCCGTTGGTCAGGGTTACCAAATCCCTATTGAGCCCATCTAGCAGGATGACATAGCATTATATCTTTTATTTGTGGCAATAATCATGGTTTTACCATATTGTTCCAAGTATTTTAATAACACAGAGACTGCTCAAGAGACCACTAGCTTGATTACTTGTGTATCTATATACTTAAAAAAATAGGATATAGAATATGACACAGAATCCATACTACTGTGTGACTCTTATGCTCTTTATATGTATCACCCTGCATAAAAATATGGATTAAAAAAATTAATTATGGGAGGCGGAGCCAGCATCCAAGCGAGACGGACACATGCTACCGGAGCTCCGTTCTGCATTGTACATACATGCGCTTTTTGAAAGCTGAAATCGCTTAACTGTGACTCAATTCGTGACCCAGCTCCTTTTGACACAGATGGGAAATAAAGCAATAGAGCACCGGGCCGATCAGGGTTCCGGGTCCCGCGTTATCGGGACTTTCATGACACAGGCGCCTAGGCCCGAGCCTGCCAAGATGGCACCCATGGCGGTCTCTGCCTCGGAATCCTCAGATGAGGACAGCATACCCTTCACCCTTCCGAGGCACTTGCTATGCTTCAAGAGATGGGGCTGCCAAACGTGCCCATACACGCGAGGAATGAACCATTATGGTCAGTAGACACACCTTTTGTGCAGAGACTCCTTACAGGCTGGCGATACACCCACTTGACTGGCACTGAACCTGTCAATGTTCTTTTATTACAAGTTTTGTTATGTTTATTCAATTTGTTTGCAATTGTTCTTTTCTTTCAATTTGGCTCCACAAGCTGACATCCCATGAGTAATATACTGCTTTATCCCTCTCTACCTTAAAGGGACACTATAGTCAACATATAAAAGCAAGAAAGACAGGTCCCCCAGCCTTCTTTCTTGCTTTTATATGAACTTGTCATAAAAAAAAAAAAAAAAAAAAATCTGAGTAAGTTTTAATAATAAAACTTACCTCCGTTCCAGCGCCGAGCTCCCCGCTAGGCCACGCCCCCTTTTCAGTCAAAATGACGAAATCGCAGGGCCCAATAGGACGCTTCTCCTTGAGAAGCGTCATCGCGATGTGGTGCGCATGCGCGGTTTCGCGCAGCACCAATCGCATTCTTCATAGAGCAGCATTGAATGCCACCCATGTGCGCGGAATGCGTGTTCGCGAGCTGAGCTGTCTGACTGACAGCTCAGCTCGATTTCTATACCCGCCCCCTCCTCAGCCAAACTGTGTTTGCATAGAAACACTATGTATAGAGATCTCCCTATATATAGTGTTTCTATGCAAACACACAAGTAGTAAAAAATTAGACATACACACACACTCTTTCTCCATCCATATCTATCCATCGCCATCATCCATATCCATACATCCCTATCATCCATATCCAGCCCTATCATCCATCCATTCCCATCATCCATATCATCCAATCCCAACCATTCCCATCATCCATATCCATCCCCATCATCCATATCCATTCCCATCGTCCATTCCCATCATCCATCCATTCCCATCATCCATATCCATCCCCATCATCCATATCCATCCATCCCCATCATCCATATCCATCCCCATCATCCTACCATTCCCATCATCCATATCCATCCATTCCCATCATCCATATCAATTCCCATCATCCATATCCATCCATCATCCATCCATCCCCATCATCCATATCCATCCATTCCCATCATCCATATCCATCCCCATTATCCATATCCATCATCCATATCCATCCATCCCCATCATCCATCCATCCCCATCATCCATATCCATCCCCATCCATCCATCCCCATCATCCATATCCATCCCCATCATCCATATCCATCCCCATCATCCATATCCATCATCCCATCATCCATCCATCCATCCCATCATCCATATCCATCCATATCCCATCCATCCATCCATCATCCATATCCATCCATCCATATCCATCCATCCCCATCATCCATCCATCCCCATCATCCATATCCATCCCCATCCATCCATCCCCATCATCCATATCCATCCCCATCATCCATATCCATCCCCATCATCCATATCCATCCATTCCCATCATCCAAATCCATCCACTCCCATCATCCATATCCATTCCCATCATCCATATTCATCCATCCACTCCCATCATCCATATCCATCCACTCCCATCATCCATATCCATCCATCCCCATCATCCATCCTCAGTCACCCACCCACACTCACTAAATAAGTTTACTTACACAGTTTGAATCCTCCCCTCCTCCTCTTCGGTCTTCAGCCTGTCAGCTCAAGCCACTCCCATGCAGTGCTGACAGCCTCAGCACACAAAGCGCGTTCACAGTGCTTTGTGTGCTGATAGCACGTCTGAAGTATTCACCCATGCATTAATACGTCAGACGTGAATGAAGCCTTTTTAGGGCTTCTGAACTCGGAAGTCCCTCTGGTGGCCGTCTGATTGACTGCAACAAGAGGTGTTCCAAGCTTCCAATGTAAACACTGTATTTTCTCAGAAAATACAGTGCTTACAAGAAAAAGGCTGCAGGGAGCTGTAGCACTCACCTGAACAACCTCATTAAGCTGAAGTTGTTCAGGTGACTATAGTGTCCCTTTAACCACGCGTGCTAAAAGGCGTTTGCCCCTTAGTTTATAATGTGGCATATAATTACGGCTGATAATTGCCCCACAGACGAAAGTTTAATACGCTTAAGCTATGTTCTCCCACTGTTCGTCTTATGGGGGATTATCCATGTTATCAGTATTTCCTTCCCCAATTAATAGAATTGTTATTAAGGTTACTTATTTTCACATTGCCAGTTTCTTCACTAAAAAAAAACAATGTTGTAACCATGTTTCATGACTAAAACTGTCATTTGTCAATGCCTGTTCATGTACAAGCTAATGCCCATCAGAAATTAAGAAGGTAAACAAAAATAAAAAATTATACCGACCAATTACCAAATATGGGGCTATCTCCTAAACAGAGCAACAAGTTGGTACCCTTAATTATGGCAATCCCAGTAATAATGCCAAATTAGTGAGCTATCTAAAATCAGTTGAAAGAGCAAAATTAAAACAAGGCCTTTTACTTAATTTTGCTTTTTCAGTTTCTTAGTAGATATGTCCCTCATTTGCTATCCCTATGAAAACAAATTAATTTAAAATAATTTGTTTTGTTCCGAGTTTGTTCCTTCTCGTTTCATTTTGGATTCCAAAGAATTTGGATGAATTCGAACAAAATAAATAAAGTGAATTGCACGTGTCTAATGAACAGCATCCACATAGCATTCCGTTGTACACATTTGCTATTTTCAACCTAAAATTTGCCATGTGAAACTCAGTTTGCTAATCACAAATGGTATACAGTATTTTGTTATTTTAGATGTTTTTCACTTTCATTCCTTTGTCATTCATTTAACTGTTAAAATCACCTAATTGTATGAGCATAAATTTGAATTGTTGCTGGGCCAGCTCAGAATACGTTCTCTGACATCTAACCTTACCTCTGACACTCTAATGGAAGCATGTTGAAGCAACGTAGAACTGTTTCAAAATTGTAAGCGCACTTCATTGGTGCTTGTTGTTTCTAGTTCATTGTTGTAGTAGGATACCCACCTCTATGTAGTCTTCCTCTATATCACTCCAGTGCTGCTTCTTTGTGTATTCCTTTCACCCAATGCTGATTCCTTCTTCAAAATCTCAGGACTCTGACTCAGGGAAATCTTACTTGGCTTCTATTTTTGATCTGTGTTAATTTTATCTTTGGATCCCCTCCTTCCCGTGCCCTTTCCTTAGAGCTAGAAAGGGACAGTAACTAAGAGCGTGAATTGGTTCCATGGAACGTTGCAGGGTAATGGAACTGAGGCAGAATTAGCTAAATAGCACCATTTATAATTTGGTGTAATATTTAACATACACTTATACATTAAAGTACCATTTATTTATATATATTTTTTCTTTCTCAGGCTTTTCTACATGTAAATTTTTTTGGTTCTCTGAAAAGTGTGTAGACCAAGAGGTAGAGGTAACGTTTATCTGCCATAACTAGCACAACTTAAAGCGGCACTTTCATGCCAAACTTACTTTTCTTTAATCGATTCATCTTATCTCACTCTGTCAGGATCTGTTCTTCATTTCTTCGTGTCTGCTCTAGTTTTCTTTAAAACATAAGACAAAGTAGAGACTACTTTGTCTTATGGAGATTTCCTACGCTTGACAAGCTTTTGAAAAGCAATTTTCCCACAATTCTCACCTTTCCTCCGTGATCTTGCGATGCTTCCTGTCAGTATTCCCAAACGTCCTGTCATTTAGACAGAATGCCGGCGAAACTATGAATTTCGTCCTAACAGAATGAGAACAGTTTCTCTATTAGTGTTAGGACGCAATTCGGGCATTTGCCGTGGGTGACACTATTTAGGCGTCCCCTCTAATTTCCCCTCTGATTACTTAATAAAAAGAAATTCAGATACCAGATAAATTTATCTATTTTTAGAATGTAATGATTTAAAATCTGAAATGGATAGGGGGATAGGAAGTGTTTGAAAGAGGTAAAGGAATCTAGGGAGTACATTCATTTTAATTGTGGAAATTTTCCCTAGAAACAAAATGCTGAGTGTGTGCCAAGATTCCATATTGTGTATAGCGTTGTTGATCGGGGGCTAAAATTAAGTTGGAATGTATCTGCTAAGTGAGCCGGGATGTTTATACCAAGGTACAAAATATGTGCATACAATTTGAGAGGGCATTCTAAAATTCTCACTTTTTCACTAGAGAGATTCCCTCCCTACTGGGCTTCCCCAGATTACTTAGAACAGAGAGTTCTGTGCTTGCAGCATAAGATGATACTTCTTCCTATCTGCCGCTAATTTTTCTTCTGACAAGCTCGCACAATATGAGTTCTCTTGTTCTAATGATCAGCGCTAGACAGAGCCCAGCACAGATCATTCTCTGCAATGAGTGATCAGAAAATGGAACTTGCAGGGAGATCTGATGAGGTTCTTTCCAGCCCTCACTGGTCTTTTAGTGATGAAGGGCATATCTTGTACTGTCATTAATGACGCCACTGCTCTGTGGCCAAAGATAAATATTAAATTAAAACAGTATGTGATGCATTCAATTAGGACACTCTCCACATTCCACTGCAGTTTTGATTTGTCAGAATTGACAGTGATAATGCAGAAATGCCCCTAAGGTGTTTGATTTTAAACGGGGGGACTGCACAAGCACTCTAGAGGTAACATAATCATTACAGTGACAAGTAGTGGTTATGGTTTTTAGGATTGTCCCTATAAGAATCGTGCTTAGCTATTAGCGTATCTAACTCCCTAGCATCTGCAGATTGGCGTCTGTATCACTCTAAGCCAGTAATGACAAACCTATGGCAAGGATACATTCTGGCACTCATAGACCCTGGAGGTGACACTGCTTATAGGTTAGCCATTAATTCTAGACACCCAGTTATATGTGACTTTGTAAGCCATTTAATGAATTCTGGCACCATCATCTGGTGACTTGATGGTAGTTCTGATAATCAAATAAAGCATTTTATATTTATGTAAACCCAGTGACTATGGTTGCTCTCATATTGATCCTGTTATAAGCGGTTATTCGCAAACCTCAAATTAATCAATGTACCTGGAGAAGCCCATTTTCTTATCATATGCAATCTTTTTTCTTTATGGTGTATAACTCTGAGAGCAACAATATGTGGTACAATTCACAGGTTTAAGGCATTGCAGTCATTTACTGGTCACTTTGGAATATTCGCACAAATTGTTTATAGTTTGTACCCTTATTATGGTTTACATATTTGCATTGAATCTTGCGTTTACTTGTATGTATATCTGTTTGTCTCTCTTAAATAAAAAATATAATAAAAAAAAAAGAATTGCATTTTATAGCACCAGCAGTGCAGAAACAGTAGCACAAAGGGACGAGAATACCACACTAAAATAGGAATGTTATAGTGTAAACACCAGAAGTGAGCTGCCATTATTAATGGAAAATAAAAGTGTGCTAGTATGGAATAGGGGGTTGGTTAGAAGCTAGACTATGAAGGAGAAGGCCAAAAAGAGAAGGACAGAATGGATTACTAGAATAATGATAGATTGTAAGGCATGTTTACGTATAATGAAAGGGTAGAGTGTAAATTGTGAAACGGAACTGGAAGACTGAGCAAAGGGGGAGTTAAGGAGGATCTGGTTTGGGCGGGTGAAACAGGGGGAGTAGTGGTAAGAAAGGTAAGTGGAAGTAAAATTGGCATTCAGGCTCAAAGCATTTGCCATTGCTGCCCTTTACCATTGGTTCTCAAACTCAAGGTCAGGACCTAATGGTCGCAACAGTTCCATGATGTTTATCAGACCTCAGGCAATTTCCAAAAATATATATTAATTGCTGTGCCAGCAATGCCATTCCTTTTGCAGTGAACAGCCACGTTGATACTGGAAAGAGTTGAAAGCAGGCTTTAAATTGTTATATGTAACATTTGATGACAAGTTCACAAAGCTTTTCCCATGAGCAAAATTTTGGCCCCTGACATGGAATGTAACCACTGTCCTATACACATTCATACTGAAATACACAATATAATCAATGCATTTACAGTAAATTCACACACACACAAATACACAGTTACTTAAGATGTCCAAATAAAAATGTGTAATGTTTGATGAGAGGAACACTTTAAATAATAACAACTGATGCTCCTTGCATAGATTATGGTGGAAGAAAACCACCTTTTTTTGTCTCCAAACACTTTGGTCTCAAATTTAAGATTTATTTAAGATAAGATTTTCAAATTAATTAATATTTTTTGATGAACTTTTAAAATTATTTTTTTTCTAAATATTAAAATATCAGAAAATATATCTAAATATGTCAATATATCAAAATTTAAATGATTTTCATAATATTAAATCATTTTAAAAGATTATCTAAAAATATTAAATAATTTCAAAGCTTATCCTACAATAGGCCGAAGTCTTTGTTGCTTACAACTGAAGCAATTTACAAAAGTTGATGCAATACCTAATCCCTTCACTGGTTTTGAGTATGTAACATGGTCAATCTATACATAGAAACATAGAATGTGACAACAGATAAGAACCATGACAGGCGCACAGTCGGATTTACCGGCATATGCAGTAACATTCCACCGAACTAAATTAAGACACGGACACAGGTTATACTGTTGGAAATATTAGTCCAAGGATTTATTAATTATTAACTAATTAAAAAATAACAAATAGGGTCATTGCCAACAAATATTATTAAAGCCAACATCCCCCATATACATAACATACCCCTGGTAATGACCCCACAATAATAACAATGAATAACAATCTAATTAACATATTAACACAGAAACTGGCTGTCCAACATGACCACATTTCCACCAGATTAATTTGTAGGGGAGTACCAAGACACTGCGACAACCACAATTTCAATTGTAGGGGTGTACCAAGACACCGCTACACCCCCAGGTTCGGAGCCACCGACGGGCTCAAACCTACCAACCAAGTGTAACACTGCCTAATCCACACTAAACCTCTGGATGCCCACTTCCTCCTCCATCTACCCCCCGATTTAACCTGGCCATTCCCCGCCACAGCTCAGTACTTGACACCTAAAGCTCCTGAGCACCCCCCCCACTACACCAAAACAGGGCCTGTTGAAGGCCCAAAATAAATAGGTCACACCCCACATCCAACAGATGTACACCATCCCTCCTGAAGTACCCAGGAAGCATGCCTTTCAATTCCCCGTGCCTCATTGCCACTCCACCTAACCGCCTAATATAGACCGCCATCATTTTATTGATTTGTCCACCGCGGCCGGGTCCTTGGCATGTCGCCAGTGAAACCGAGGAACCATCTCGGACCACATCTGGAGCCAGCTCCCGTAGCCGGTCCACATCCCTCTTCACCATCTGACTAATTCCTTTTTGGGACCATCATGCCCAGATCATTACCTCCAGCGTGAAGTAACAGTACATCCGGAACGGTCCCCCTTGCCACCCTCCGAAAAATTTACCCGCTAATGCCTTGCCAACCAAAATCCCGAAAATCAAACCACTCCAGTGTCACCAACTCCAGAGGAAAGCTCAGCTGCACTCTGCGGCTCTCTTCTGCGTAGATGTAAGAGTGGCCCACCAACCAGGCCACCCATCCTAAAATGAAAACAGAATTAGTGACAAGGCATAACACCAAACACCACCCCACAAATCCACGCCCATAAAACGTACCGACTCCCACCTACCTATACGTTTCACCAATTCCTCACCTAAACCCAAACGGGACGCCTCTGTTGCCGCCCCTATCCAGAAGGAATGGGTCCCAAACTGCATTGGATCCAAACCCAGCTTCGTCAAACCCAACTGAAAAAAACAAAAGAATTGGAACCGCGACAAAGCGGATCCATCCCCATGTACCAAAAAACAACCCAGGACGTCCTGGCCAAACCCCACGTAGTGCAATGCAAATGAAACCGGGTACACTCCTGACCCAGGCCGGGAAAATAGTGTTACCAAACAACCTTTACCAAATACTAACGTCTTTGTAAGGCCCAACCGTATCACCACCCTATCGGTTCGTAATTCGATGTCCGAGTGTTGAACCCCCCAACACCCGCCCGCGAGGTACTCACCAGATCACCAATTCGAAAGGCCCCGAAGAACACCCACGAGAAGGCAACAGAGAATAACCCCTCCTCGAAAAGGAGATGAACACACCGCCGGCAGCACACCCACTAAGCGCTGCAGGACTTCAAAAGATACCGGTCTTCTAGTATCCACAGCTTTCTTACCTCTCCTAAAGCCCCGTAAGGCTTGACGAATGAGAAAATGTTTTGTAACATCCTCCCAACCATTCAGTTTGAACAGAAACGCCAATGCCTCCATATCCTTTGACTTGAACACCGCATCCCAGAACCTTTACATAAGCAGCCCACATGCCAGGCATCAAAGAATTCCTTGTGAATCATACAAGCATTACGACCCGAGCCGCCACATCTTCGTTTCCCGCCCCTGGAGCCACCATCCGAAACTTTTCCCACTGTGAACGAGACAATGAATCAGCCACCATGTTTAACAAACCAGGCACGTGACAGGCCCGAAAAACAATATTAAAAGACATACAAAACAATACAAATCGCTGTAATAAGCGTACCATCAGGACCGAAGATGCAGACAAGCAGTTAACCACATGAACCACCAAAATATTGTCCGTAAAAAAAGATATCTTTCCTGTCCCACAACACCTCCTCCACAACGCCAAAACCACCAACGGGAACAACTCAAGAAACGCCAAATTAAGGAAAAGGGGACTTGCTTTCCAAGCCTCAGGCTACTGAGCAGCACACCTATGCTCTCCGAAGCATCCGTAAACAACTCAATATCCTCAGAAGAAACTACCGCTTCACGAAAGAAGACCAGTCCGTTGAAATTGGGCCGAATGGTTCTTATCTGCAGTCACATTCTATGTTTCTATGTTTCTATTCCTACCTCTTGGCTCTGTCTAGGCCCACTCCCCTAGCTGTGCTGATCCATGAGTTACATGCGGCCCATCTAGTCTGCCTAATTTTCTGAAAACTTTCATTAGTCCCTGGCCTTATCTTATAGTTAGGATAGCCTTATGCCTATCCCACACATGCTTAAACTCCTTTACTGTGTTAACCTCTAACACTTCAGCTGGAAGGCTATTCCATGCTTCCACTACAATCTCAGTAAAGTAATACTTCCTGATATTATTTTTAAACCTTTGTCCCTCTAATTTAAGACTATGTCCTCTTGTTGTGGTAGTTTTTCTTCTTTTAAATATAGTCTCCTCCTTTACTGTGTTGATTCCCTTTATATATTTAAATGTTTCTATCATATCCCCCCTGTCTCGTCTTTCCTCCAAGCTATACATGTTAAGATCCTTTAACCTTTCCTGGTAAGTTTTATCCCGCAATCCATGAACCAGTTTAGTAGCCCTTCTCTGAACCCTCTCTAAGGTATCAATATCCTTCTGAAGATACGGTCTCCAGTACTGCGTACAATACTCCAAGTGAGGTCTCACCAGTGTTCTGTGCAATGGCATGAGCACTTCTCTCTTTCTACTGTTAATACCTCTCCCTATACAATCAAGCATTCTGCTAGCATTTCCTGCTACTCTATTACATTGTCTGCCTACCTTTAAGTCATCAGAAATAATTAGCCCTAAATCCCTTTCCTCAGATGTTGAGGTTAGGACTCTGCCCTTGGGTTTTTACATCCAAGATGCATTATCTTGCACTTATCCACATTAAATGTCAGCTGCCACAACTCTGATCATTTTTCTAGTTTACCGTATATACTCGTGTATAAGTCGATCTCATGTATAAGTCGAGTGCAGTTTTGTGACCAACAATTGTGAAATATGCTATGCCTCGTGGATAAGTCGAGGGTAAAACTTGGAGCTATGAAATTCTGTGATTTTTATAATTATATACACACACTCATACAAACAAACACTCTGCATTATATATACACACACTCATACAAACAATCTGCATTATATACACACACACACTCATACAAACACACACTCTGCATTATATACACACACACACTCATACAAACACACACTGCATTATATACACATACTCTGTATATAATGCAGAGTGTGTATATAATGCAGAGTGTGTGTTTGTGTAGTGTGTGTGAACTAGGTGGGGGGAGGGCATTTTTATTATTTTAATTTTAATTTTATTTTAATATTATTATTTTTTTATTATTTTAATTTTTTTTTTGTCCCCCCTCCCTGCTTGTTAACTGGTCAGGGAGGGGGGCTATCTTAATCCCTGGTGGTCCAGTGGCATGGGCTGTGAAGTGGGGGGGCCGGCAGGAAGCATTTACTTACCTTTCCTGCAGCTCCTGTCAGCTCCCTTCTCCTCCGTTCCGGTCAGCTCCACTGTAAGTCTTGCGGTCTGGTTGCCGCGCGGATCGTTGCCATGGCTCTGACGGCCGCGGCTCTCTAAGTTGCCATAATACAGACAGTGACTTGAGTATAAGTCGAGTGGGGGTTTTTAAGCACAAAAAATGTGCTGAAAAACTAGACTTATACTCGAGTATATACTGTACCTAAATCATATGCCATTTGGCTTATCTCTCCTGGAACATCAACCCTGTTACATATAGTACATTAGTATCATCAGCAAAAAGATATACCTTACCATCAAGATCTTCTGCAATATCACTAATAAAAATATTAAAGAGAATGGGTCCAAATACAGATCCCTGAGGTACCCCACTGGTGACAAGCCCATGCTTCGAATATACTCCATTGACTACAACCCTCTGTTGCCTGTTATTCAGCCACTGCCTTACCCATTCAACAATATTGGATTCTAAACTTAAAGATTGCAGTTTATTGATAAGCTTTCTATGTGCAACAGTGTTATAAGCCTTACTGAAATCTGGGTAATCAATGTCTTCTGCACCACCCTGATCTATTATTTAAGTAACCCAATCAAAAAAAATCAATAAGATTAGTTTGTCATGATCTCCCTGAAGTAAACCCATGTTGTCTCTGATCTTGAAATCCATGTGATTTTTAGATGTTCAATAATTCTATCCTTTAACATGGTTTCCATTACTTTCCCCACTACTGAAGTAAGGCTTACTGGTCTATAGTTGCCTGACTCCTCCCTACTACCTTTTTTGTGAATTGGCACAACATTTACTAACTTCCAATCTTCTGGGACTACTCCTGTTAACAATGATTGGTTAAATACATCTGTTAATGGTTTTGCTAGTACACCACCAAGCCCTTTCAATAACTTTGGGTTCATTCCTCCAGGCCCCATTGACTTATTTGTCTTTACTTTTGACAGTTGAAATAGTACCTCTTCCTCTGTAAACTCACATGTAACAAATTATTTATTTGTCCATTTTCCTAACTGAGTCCTCTTTCCTTCATTTTCATCTGTAAATATTGAACAAAAATATTCATTGAGGCAGTTAGCTAGACCTTTATCCTCTTCTACATACCTCCCTTCTTTTGTTTTGTTTTTTAAATCTAAGTAATCATTGTTTTACTTTCTTTTTCTCATTTATGTATCTAAAAAATGTTATGTCCCCCTTTTTTACTGACTGCTATTTTCTCTTCTGTGTGTGATTTGGAAGCTCTGATCACTTGTTTAGGCTCTTTCTGCCTGTGAAGATAAGTGTTTTGTCTTTGCTCACATTTTTAACAGCAGCACATTGTTGCTCACTTGCGTCTTCGTTTACTATAGCTTGTTAGCCACAACAACAACCCAGTATGTGTGTCTGACAGTGGATGCAAACTCCGACAGTGGGCACACCGCGTGTTACTTGCGCATTGGATATCCGCAATGAAAAGCAGCTGCAAAACAATCTCCTAGCAGATGGTAAATTTCTATGTTGTGTGTGTGTGTGTGTGTGTGTGTGTGTAGATGGGTATATTGTGCATTCTATCGTCCAGTAGCTTAAAATAAGATAACATGCGTATTAAACACAATATTTAAGTGATGTCTTATGTTGACAGCCCATTTGATAGCAATATTTTGATAAACATAAAAAATATCAATAAGGCAAAGGGGTCATTGAATTAGGTCATCATAACCACCATATAACTCTCTTCACAGCAAGGGCCTCAGTATCCTCAATTGTACTGTAAGAAACTGTTTATTTTTGGAGTGCCAACTTTCTAGAGTAGGGTCCAATGTGAATCCTAATATGCATTAGTCAGTGCAAATTAACTTGTTCCTTTCATTTTAGATTCTATCCAGAACCAATGCACTGAAAACACAATATAATCCAATTAAATGCCCAATCTAGCTGCTCTTTCTTTTACTTGCCTTTCTGATGAAAGCAAAGGAACATCACTTTGATTGACACATGGAACACATGATTGACACATTGATTGACACATGATTAACTATCTGTATATACAAAAGAGTCAATGTAGTTTTCTGAGTGAGCACTTTATTGGTACTATATTTTTTACTTGGAAAACCTAATGCACAGTCCTGCCTTGTGGATGAAAAGATGTGATTAAAGACAGATGTTGGATTGCGGTTTAGCTACAGCTTGTTCTAAACTCCGCTATGTCTTAACTGCTTGTCCAGTTGAATAAGCTGGGCGAGAAAGCCATTGTTCGGTCGGATGTACCTTTTTTCGACTACAAGTTTGATGGCATCCATAACAGACAATCTCCTGTGGATCATGAGGAACGCAATGACTAAAGTGGATGATCGGCTTATTCCCATAGCGCAATGAACTAATACTTTACCTGTGGAGAGAGGAGAACACATTGTTTTTAAAAGAACTGAACCATGAATTTAATAAACAGTAATTTTTTAGTAGGTGGTAATCTTGAGTAATTGGAGACATACTCTTATTAAATCCCCCCCAAAATTACATACATCGAAAAAAAAAACACTCAATCACCAAACTGATTTTACAGGTATTTTATAATATGGTGACATTGGATATAAGAAGATGCCTATAAAACTAGAGTTATGTGCTGGCTAATGTAAATTCTGTGCAGTTTTTTAGAGTACTAAATGCTTGAGAAGACATGTGGAACAATTAATGTTAAGGACAGATCGTGGAGTGAGCTCCATTTTTGTGGCTTTGTAAGTCTTCGACCCCCACCACCCTTGATAACAACAATGAAACAGAGACTACCCTGTGCATTTCATGGTGTTTAAACCATTAACACATATAAAGCATAAACTGTACAGTGTTTTGCAACTTACCCAGTGGGCTCTCTAATCCTTCCTTTATGAACTTTGCTGTTGAATTAAAGAAGACACTAAGGTTAAAAGAAGGATCATCGATAGCCTTTATGCCATAATAGCATATTGGAATATCTGCATAGAATCCTGCTTTTACATTGACACCGCACTGTCCATGTGCTGCATTCAGGATATGGGTGATACCAAGGCTATGGAGATAATGCTTGTGTCTTGCAACAAACCTGAATCAGAAGAAAAAAATATATAATAGTATTCCAAAAGGATTGAAATAACAACAAAATGTAGCTATCGTCATGTGAGAAGGTGTATATCTGCTTTAAACCTAAATATACGTGTATTAGAAGAATTAACATAGGCCACCACAATCATTTAACACTGTAGGGTAAATTACAATATGCTGTTTGAAAATGATCAACATGTTAATGGGCAATGAATCATTAACAATGCTGAAGAAGTCTCACCTTTCCAATAGTTTTAAGAATAATTTTACCATTATCGTTTTGGAGAAAGAAAAGGCCCTTTATTTTATGTTAAACAGTCAAACTTAAAGGGACACTGTAGGCACCCAGACCACTTCAGCTAATTGAAATGGTCTGGGTGCTGTGAACCTTTTGCACTTAGTGCTGCAATTTAAAACATTGCAGTTCCAGAGAAACTGCAATGTTTACATTGCAGCTCTAAGTCTGCCCTCAGTGGCTGTCTACCAGACAACCACTGGGGGCGCTTCTGGAATCAAAACGGACCTTTGTTATCTGATGATGGACATCCTCATACTCTGCATGAGGACCTCCAGCGTTAGATTTTTCACTATAGGAAAGCATTGAATAATGCTTTCTTATAGGGAAATGCTAATATAAGCGCAGCCATTGCCACGCATGCGCATCAGGTCTTCCCCGCTGGCTGATGTCTGCGGGGGAGGATCGTGGGCGGATCCTGGCCCAGCGCAGAGGGACATCAGCGCTGAATTCAGGTAAGTGACTGAAGGGGTTTTAACCCCTTCAGCACTGCGGGAGGGGGGCACATGGGAGGGGGGGCTCCTTAAAAACCTATACAGGAAAACAGGCTTGTTTTCCTGGCACTATAGTATCCCTTTAAGTGACTGCAATCTTTATGAAGAAACATTATCAACACATTCACAGAACCATCAAAAAAAAAAAGCCGTCATAAAAAAAGACTTGATAAACCACACAAAATTATTTTGTAATAGTTAAAGCAACACTCCAAGTATCATACCCACTACAGCTTTCATACTGAAATCCTGCATGTACAAGTACCATGAGCACTTCAAATTGCTGAAGTGGGCATGCTGAATGTTTTTCTGTTATGGCCATGGCTATGGTGTAAGGAGTGTTTAGGACGCCCCCTCCCTCACTCTTTTTTTGTAAATCTATTTTGAATGTTTTTGGCAAAAACAGGCATTTTCCTTTACCAAAAACTAGCCACACTATTACGGCTCACATAATGAGGAAGCATCACTCATTTATTATCTATCTGTTACAGTCTGGCCTTGTACAGCAACTGCAGACTACTTGTTCTCAATACATCTTAAAATGTTAATAGACAAAACAAGGGACAGCTACCAAAGATTCAAAGCACCACAAACGCAAAAAAAACCTGTGGTTTTGGTGTTTAGAATGCCTCTATACCAGGGATAGGCAACCTCCGGCACTACAGATGTTGTGGACTACATCCCCCATAATGCTCTTACATCCATAATTCTGGCAAAGCATTATGGGAGGTGTAGTCCAAAACATCTGGAGTGCCCAATGTTGCCTATTCCTGCTCTATACCCTTATTGATGACTCTTCCTGATAGTAATCTGTGGCACTAACATAAGGTTAATTAGTATCTAATATTTTATTGTACAGTAAATGTCCTGGAAGCTTTGGGCAAAACGAGTAAGCTGCAGGCTTCAGTACAATGCTCGTTTAAAAAAAAGTGTCCATCTCGAATATCTTAAATAGCAGAATTAGAGCAATGGTATCACCTAAGCCAAGGGTGCCCAATAGGTAGATGTCCAGATGTTATAGGACTACAACCCCCATTATGCTTTGCATGTCTTAAGAATGACAAAGTATTGTGGAAGCTGTAGTTTTAAAACATCTGGGGATCTACCCTTTGGATACCCCTGTCCTAAGCAGTAAAATAGTGTTTTTAGGACACAGTTATATAGTTATAGTAGCATGATCTAATTCAGGATTAGGCAGCCTTTGGTACTCCAGATGTTGTGGACTATATCTCCCAAAATGCTCTAACAGTCATAATGTTGGCAAAGCATGGGGGGATGTAGTCCACAACATCTGGAGTGCCGAAGGTTACTGACCCTAGTTCCTAATTAAAGGTTTGTATTTATAGTATACCAGGCAGCTCACAATATCTGATATTTTCCTCACACTGGGAATTCCTACTATGGACTCACTACATTAATTTTTTCCAAGTACAGTAGCTCCAAGTGCTTACGAGTCTCCTAGATAGAGATTTGGCACAATCTCGTCCACATGGCTGAAAGTATTATTTCTTAAGTAGAGGACATTCTCCAGATCACGGATTGAGGGTGTACGGTATCTTTGTTCTGTCATAGCCCTGACTGGCATTTCCAACCTTCTCCTGCTTTGTTCTTGGGGCACAGTCTCCTGGCAATCTAATTTATTTGGACACATCTTCAGCAAGTGACTTGAGGGCTGTGTACAAACAAAGAATGGTACATTTATATATGCTAACTGTGGCATGCAATATCAACTTAAAATGAAAAAAAAGTAAAGCTAAGCTATTCTATAGTTAGCTAGCTAATTACATTTTGTTTTCTCATTGATTCCTACTTATGCAAATTAAGATATCAAATCATTCTGCTTTTCTGTTTGACATATAAGGAGTCAGAAATGTACATTACTCATTTCATTTTGTTTTTCCATTTACTGAAATGTTACGTAGACAGTCACCCACATGAAGACAAACCAGCTATGATTTTCAATACTGTCGTCAGTATGTCAGAAAACCGACCAAAGGGGAAAAAAACCAAAACATGGAAATGACAATTTTAGAAGTAATACAATATATAATAAGTACTGCTTGGAAGAGTGAATAATAAGTACCAGAGAAGCACTATAAAGCCAATGCAGAACATCTATGAGATACTAAAAGCACTTGTTTTATTGTATTTCTATCTATGAGATACTAGTCAGTTCCAACTTAGGCTTCATTCCCAGATTTGTCGCTATCTTTTTAATAGGTCAGAAGCTACTTGCTAAAATGCCTTTTGTTATTGTTAGCAAATATAGGCCTTTTACTGACTGCTAAATTTACCAGTTAGCAATCGTGATTTTCTGTCTTCCGCTGCCAAAAGCCAGTCTCAGCATTTAATGGTTTCCTATTTTTTTTCTATGATAACGGCTAACCTGACTGATTTTCAACTGATTTCCTACCCTGTGACTACACATTACAAGCTGCTACCAACAATGAAAACTTAATGCCGGCCTCTTGCATGGTGCAAATAAATTAACAGCAGCTAACTCCCAATACGGGAGATCCTAAAGGAAAAATGCATGTTACACAGGGACTTTGCCTTACATTACGGCGGAACAAACCCAAAGCTCAAATTCAAGATTTTGTTTTGGTTCAACGTGGACAATTGCCTACGTCGTTTAGGGACTAAATAACGTCATAGTTAAAAAATAACATAATTATCTTTCATTTTGAAAATGGTGTAAAATTAAAATAACTACAAAAAAAAAAAAACTTTTCATCATCTCCTTAAGGATGCCCAACTGCTCTTGGAACTGTTGGACGAAATTGTAAAACAGGGTTTGAACATTGCCTTTAGAGAGAATTTCAAGTCAATTAAAAGTGAATTTTAAATTTAAAGCCAGAGTAGTCGAACTGGAATCATTACTGACTGATAGAATTTTTCCATTTTGGGTATTTTGACCTTAAATTTGAAATTCTCTTTGAATTCACCTTGAATTCTCTCTATAATGAATAACCCTGTAAGTAAGACAAAATCCTCATCGGAAAGGAAATCCCTGGATCTAGGGATGGGAGCAAGCTTGATCTCAGCATCCTCTAGGTAAGACTACCTAGTACACAGCTGCGGACAACATCTTGGACAGAAGGACTGCAAAAACTAAGCCATTTCATCCTGTTTGACTTAGTATTTCCGGACCTGTCTTGTATGTTTTTGGCCCATTCTATCTCCGATGGTTGGTGGTAATCATATGAGTAACTTAAAATCAAACATATTGCATTCCATAAAAAGAAGTATAAAATTTCAATATTTGCCGACCAAATTCCATCAGCTAAAATATTAATACATTTATGAGCATTGAATAATGGTGAAACACATTCAATGAAAATAATAGTGAAAACCTGCATGTACAGAATATTACAGTGGTAAACTATATTGTTATAATAAAAAATAATAATATGGTAATATATGTAGATCATAAATCAGGTGGAGTATCTTCCAAGCTTCAGTACCTGAGAATTGCAGGGAGAGGCGGTAATGAAGTGGCTGAGTTCCTGTTTGCTGGTTTGGGGAATGTGACCTAATGAAAGATGGTATGGCGCTGCTCACGGTCTATGAGGATGTGACGGCCTCCTTCAAAGCCAGTGGATGATGTCAGAAATGCTGTTAGAGTAGATTAAGCATGTCTAAATGATCTACACCCAGAAAATAGGCAGTTTTTTTTTTAAATATCCCAAAGTCTTCACAATTAGTTGCTCAGCCACTCAGCGTCATCTTCAGCCATCAATAAACCCAAAGTGGGAATGGAAATCGCAGATCATATAACCATGGGTGGACATCAGGATCCCTCTGTTATTAAACTAATAGCCCCCACCAACTGCCTATTGTTGGGTTGTGGTGGGGGGAATAGGCTTATCTGCTTTAAAATTATTAGCCCACACCTGCAGCACCAAGAGGTTTTTTTTTTGTTTTGTTTTTTAGGAATTTGCCCGCTTGTTGCTAATGCTGCCAGCAGGCAATAAGCTTGGATTTTTAAAACCCAGGCCTGGATTTAAATTATCCTAATTTCAGCTGTCTGGCAGTTTTTGGTCCGTCTGAATTCCAGACCATAATATGTGACTGTATTTATCATTATGAATGGCCCCCATACAGCCCTGGAGGGTTTTGCCCCATTTGGTACGGGCCGGGGCAGTTTCTGACATGAGTAAATTACCCTGTGCATTTCGTGGTTTCGTATTGATGAAAAATAAATAATATCAGCCAGAAACTAAAATGTAACATGTTAACAGCTCAGTTCCTGTAATTACCGAAACACGTGAAAATCTATGCATGATGTGTCGGGTATTTCCTGTTGTTTATGCCTTGGGGGTGGAAGTCCTCCGTCACAGTTGAAGGTCTGCTCACTGACTGGCAGTTATTTGACTCATAGAGGCAGTTGTAACGAGCTGATTGTGGTACAGCACTGACCATATGCTTCACTATATCTGTGAATCGAAGGAAACCAATGGAGTAAAAATTATAAAAATAATGCAATATAAAGTAAATTTAAAAAAACTAATACTTTTAAAGGTTTTTAGATCTACTGCATTTGTACATCACCTTTCAGTAGCAGACAAACATGTGCTTCACCATGATGGCCACAGGGATCTGATCTTTTCTCATAAACCCTTGTCCTGCAGTTGATTTTATTAAGACACGGAGGCTCCTATTATTCTGCACTATTTCTTTATTTCCCTCAACAGCAAAGAAATATAACATTAAAAATCATATAACAATACATATATAACACAAGAGGTGAATCTTCCTAGTAACCGGAACAGACAATCAGCATCCTTTCCTTGGCATAATAGATCACTTCCTCTTTCTTTACTGCCCTTTTTTTAGCAAAATCTTGCCTTTCCAGACCATTTGCTAGGATGCTTACTCTTCCCTTCCCTTTAAACTTTGCTTTCGCAGCGTGACTTTAACACCCTTTTTTCCTTATTGCGTTCAGTCCGCAAACACTTTCTATATTGCACATTTGTGGCTTCCTTAAGTTGACCACGAATTTGCCTTTCTCTGCTACTCCTAGTCATTCACGGGTTTTACACTCCAAATCGCAATTTGCCCATGCGCGCCATTCAGCACATTTAGCCACTTGCTTATTTCTCCATTACATTCTCAGATTTTGACACAAATGACCATTTGCTTGCATTCAGTCCGCGGATTTCGCCGACCATTTTTCCTTACAGGCTTACCCCTTCATGCCTAAAACCTTGTTGGGTTTAGCAGTTTTGTAAAAAGACAGATCTTTGCACTCTCTGTTTCTTTATTATAGCAAATTACCTTTTCCTTACATGTTTTTTCCCTATTTGGGTTAATCAACCCTACAACTAGGTTTTTCTTCTTATTAATTTTTTTTACCTTACTGATCTATAAAATGCAGTCTGGCAAGGATGACCTCTGGGTCTCATTCTACCCCTCAAGCTAGTCTAGAGGTTCCCCATGATAAACCTGCATCTGCAGAAATGCAGGCGCTTTTTGATGCCTAAATGTCCAGATCTATGACACATGCTCTGGTCTTTGCTATGGGCGTTATGTCAACTTCATTGTCGCAAACTATTACCCAGGCCCTTATACAGGCCCAACGGTCAGCTCAACTGACCGTTCAGTCGACTGCATCTTTATTGGCACCTGCCCCACAATACTGTAAAGCTACGGCCAAATCTAAGCATGCTTCCAAAAATGATATGATGGACAGTTTACGTACTGTCACAGATGGCGCGTCATTACCATTGCGCAAAAGAACGACTAGCCGTGCAAAATCGTCTAGGTTGTGGAAACGGGCAAGAGCCCAACTAGATTCGTCTGGCCTTAGCGACATTGAGGAGGAATTTGATGAATCCATTATGGGCGTCTCAGACGACCAGTTCGTACCAGAATCCGGCAGTGCTAAAGGAAAGGCAACAACCACAGCACATTCCCGGCTACGATTTCCGGGGCCCAGGTAAGTGTTTCGGACTCTGGTTAGGAGTCCAAAATTTTTGATCCTCTGGGCTTACCACTGTTTGACCCGGATGAATAATGGCATCCACGTTCATCGGAATAGTGTCCTTCTGAACACGTGGCAAAATACATTGCCTCAAGAGTCCTTAAACCCTTGGACAAGGCAACACAGAACAAATTACAGGGTGAATGCCCTCGCCACACTGTCCCTGATGATGTGTGTAAAACGCCAGTTGTCAATTCTAAGATCGTTCAGTTTTTAGGTGTAGTGTGCGTGAAGGGTGCTGTGTGTGTGAAGGGTGCAGTGTGTGTGTGAAGAGTGCTGTGTGTGTGGTAACGGTGCTCTTTATGAAGGGTACTGTGTGTTTGTGTATGTGTGTGTGTGTGGTGCTATGTGTGTTTGAAGGGTGCAGTTTGGGTGTAAGGGGTGCAGTGTGTGTGTGAGGGGTGCAGTGTGAGTGAAGAGTGCAGTGTGTATCATGGGGCGATGTGTGTGAGGGGGCAGTCTCTGTGTGTGTGTGGGGGTGTAGTGTATGTTTGTGTGTGAAGAGTGCACAGGGTCTATGCTGTGTGTAGACGGGTGAGATGTGAAAATCTATCTTAATGTCTCCACCTCCTTTCTTCTTACCTTTTACCAGTGAGGGGGGACATAATGCTGCAAGCCCTGGTGGTCTAGTGGTGGCATGTTCACTTTACCCTGCGGCATGTTCACTTTACCCTGACTCTCCTGTTCTCCCGCGAGCACATCACTGTATCGGAGTGTTGCCTTGATAACGCGTGGCATTGATCTGACCAACACAAATCCTCCAAGGCCCTTCCCTCCCTCTACTGGAACTAAGTGCCAATGGGCCGGTGAGGGAGAACTTTGATCTCCTCACCAGCCCGAGAGGGCTTACAGCAAGGCTGGCTCTGCATGGGTCGGCAGATGAAAGGATCTGCCCTGCCGGTCTTGGTCCACGGCTATCGAGCATACTAGGCGTTTTCTGCAGAACCCACCACTGCCCACCTGAAATCAAAAACTTCCCAATAGTGGGCGGTAGGGATCTGGTTTACTACCCATGGTCTAGCTGGTTGATTAATGTATAATATCCTTTCTCCATTCTAAACTGGTAATTAATTGGATTTATTATTTCAAACCACTATGATTGTCCTTGTTGTTTCCGATATCTTGGTATGCAACTTTTAGAAGCAAGTAATAAATTACTTAAAAGATTAAGGAGTGGTTTGTTCCACTATGGTAAATCAACATGGAGCTGGGGGGTCGAATTCAACGATCAGGCTTAGACTCTTTCCCAAAGTGTTTTGAAATTTTTATTTAAGGTTCTCTAATTCTCTACATTCCTACAAAATGTGATAGTGGATGTCCTTACCATTGCCACATCTCCAACATTGGTCACAGTGTATAATATACCTGTATAATATTTTAAAATGTAATTTTGTTAGGTTTATGCAATGGACGTTCTTTTTTTTTTTTACTAACTTTATGCTTTGTTTCCATTCTTGATTTCTAAAGATCTTGTTTATGTCAGATTCCCCTTTAAAGGATCAGTATAGGGTCAGGAACACAAACATGTATTCCTGACCCTATAGTGCTAAACTCGCCATATAGGTGGCCTGCCCCCACTTAACCCCCCTATAAAAGTTTCAAACCCACCTTATTTCCAGCACCATGCGGGTTCGACAACGCTGGTTCCGCCCCCTTTGTGACATCATCAAAATTGCCATTTTTTTTGCCGATCCAATGCTTTCCCATAGGCATGGGGGCGGGGCCAAATGCTGTTTTGGCCAGTCAGGACCTATGAGGAAAATTCAGCGTCTCCACGCAGAGCGTGCTTACTGTGCAGCCTTGAGCCAGGAAGCCCCTCTAGTGGCCATCTAAGGAGTGGCCTCTTGGAGGTGTCCCTAGGGGCAATGTAAACACTGCCTTTTCTCTGAAAAGGCAGTGTTTACATGAAAATGCTTGAAAGCAATGATTATACTCACCAGAACAACTACATTAAGCTGTAGTTGTTCTGGTGACTATAGTGTCCCTTTAATCAAAGGAGATTCTTTAATAAAAGTTTCAGAACATTGCATTCATTTTATAGAACGAGATACCCTCTTCAAAGGCTTATAGGCATCCAAGAATTGGGTGATTTCAGTTTGTTCAATTAACTGTTTAGTAGGCATGTCATTCTTTATTGTAAGGTATGTAAATAATTATTTTAAGGGTCAAAAATATGATGTTTGAAGCTGTTGAAATTATATTATTTTTCCATTGGATACAATGTCGGATAGTCGGTTGATCCCACAGTCCCTACAAGTCCTCAAGTCAATATCTGCTATCATTTTTTTTTCCAATTTGTCAATTTTTATTGGTTTTGTCAGCAAGTTCACATTAACAGTCTCATATACAGTTACAAATGCCACAACAGTATTCACAGGTATTCAAGTTGCCACTAAATACTGTAGAACATGTGTAGGACATGTGGCTCAAGATTCATTACACAAATTCCGAGACAGAAGACCCAAGCATATTTTGAGCAGTTACAATATCTATGTGGCCCGCTTACATATTTTATCATTGCTTTTTACCCTTAATACTTTGAGTGAGGGAGTGTCTGCATGTGTTGTTACTTGATGGGGTCATCTTACGCATTTGGTGCTCAGTTCTAAGGGTACACTTCCATGCATACAGGGCTTACACCTAGTTTCTGTTGTAGTCCGCCAATCGCCAGATGGCAATAATCTTTAGGCCCACTAGAGTGTGTGGCAATATGTCTGTCTCGTCTGAGGCCAGTTGTATACTCTGTGGTAGTCCATTGGCCTAAGTACATAATAGTGTGTGCTAGGTACCCATTCCTGTCCCTGCATTGCTTAGTTTCGTAGTGAGTCATCCTCTGTTAATTACGCTCATGAGATATTGCAGTGTTTTTGAACTTATTGTAACTCAAAAGAATATAAGCTTTGTACAATGTGGGTAAAACTGTGTGGAATTTTCCTGTTCGTGCGAGTGCATGGTTTGTCGAATATGTGTGAGAGTATGCCAGTGCAGAATAGAATAGACCCAGATGTCAGAAGTGCTCGGACCCCCACCACCCCTCTTTTTTTTTTCTTCTTTTCTCCTCCCACCCATTCTTTCTCCAGTGCTCCTCGCTTATTATGTTGTTGAAGCTAATTATACAGTGTTTGATGCTCCTCTATATAGGGAGAGATACGTGTCCAAATATGTTGTAATGTCTAAGATCCCTTGTTCCGCTTGTGTCTGATGCATAGTCATTGTTTCATAATCTAGGTTTGAGGAAATCTGTTGTAACAGAAGGTATTGTAGTGGCATGTCTTCAGATTTCCATGCTCTTGGAATAAGTGTATTGGCTGCTATCAATATGTGAAAGAGTAGTGTTGAGTCTGACTTGTTATACTTATTTAGCAATAAGAAAGGTAGGCACAGTTCCGGAGTGAGAGTGATTTTTTGGTGCAGTGCTCCTGAGGCCACCCTTTCTACCATCTCCCAATATGGTCTGAGTTTAGCACACGTCCACCAGACATGGTACATGGCTCCACTTTCACTTAAGTACCTCCAACATCGATTGTTGGCACCCGCGTATATTTTTGCAAGTCTGTCTGGTACCATATACCAGCAGTATTTCAGGTTTCGTATAAGTTCTAGGTGTGTCGTGCATCTAGATCTACCTCCGTGTGCTAGAAATGCCTGTTTCCATGCGGTGGTGTCAAATGTCTGTCTTAGGTCTGTGTGCCATGCCTGAATGTGTGCATCTATTGTGTCTGTTTAATACATTGTACGTCATGGAGAATATTTTCCGAGGAGGATGTGATGAGAGGCAGGCTTGTTCAAAGTTTGTCAACTGTCGGTGTGGGGTGCCTGTGTGGGTGTCGGATAACAGGGATTTCACTTGCAAATAAGAAAATAATAGTCTGGAGGATCTCGTTTGTAGGTCTGGAAATTGTAGCAGTTGATTATCGTACAAGTGTTTCACATGTGTGCATCCCCGATGCTGCCACTGCCGAAGGTCAAAGGAAGAGTTAATTAAATGTATACATTGTAGGGGAGTGACCAATGACTAGGGCACAGTTGCGCACAGGGTCTCTCTGTGGGTGTCCCATGTTTTGAGTAGTAGGTCCGTGGAGGGTAGCCTCTCCGGCAATTCGGGTCTCAATGATTTTGGTCCACAAAATAAATGCTGCAAGCAATTATGTCCAGCCCAGCAGGACTCTATGCATACCCATTGTGGTTGGTTCTCTGTTGCGTGGGACGCTATCACCGTGGCTAGTAAAGCGTCCCGGTAATATAGGCGCACATTAGGCATGCCTAATCTGCCCGCTTCTAGAGGTTTATATAGAATCGTCGATGCTACTCGGACCCCAAATAAAGTGTGTGAACCAATATGTGCTATATTGACCTCCAAAAGATTAAGTGAGGAAGATAACGCTATACCATTGAATTGCTTCAATTTTTTCCTTATATTTATAGTTGTAAACAACATGTTTTTTACAATCAGATTTGAAGTAATCTGATCAAAACGTTGCTTAGTGTCGAACCAAAAACAATCAAAGAAACTCTGTTTTAGAGTCCTGAGCCTCCATTTCCTTCCATACATTATTAGGGTTATTTGAACCATGACATGCTAAGAAATGTGCCGCCATACAGGCGTAATGTGAAGCATGGACATCAGAAAAAAAACCAACCTCCATTTTGACCACCATCAGGTGGCCTTAAGTGCATGGACCACCCAGTAGCCCCCCCCAGTGCTGCTGCACCAGCTGTGTTGCTTCTCACCATAATTTTAAATAAAAAACAAAATTCTAGCACCTTTATCTGGGGAAAACGACCATAGTGCAGAATTGATTGACCTCTTCAGCATTAGCATTTAAAAATATACATCATGGCAAATATGACCTATCAAAATGTGATTTCTATTCTTTTGTAGACCATAAACAGACACTTGTGGTTTTGATTGAGATGTTTATTACCTTGACTATCGTTAAAGATACCTAGGGGCTAAGTAAGGCGCTTTGACAGGCACTCTGGGGTGCAAGTTCCTTCTCTACATGAGGCATTTTGACAGGTCCTCTGACGAGCAAGCTCCTTTTCTAGATCAAGGAGCTGATTCAAGAAGCCACTGTTAGGACTGATACTACGATGACGGATAATTGAACTGACGGCATCTTTGAGCTTCATGTTCTGGTGCAACATCAAGTAAGCAAGTACAAACACTGCTGCTCGGCTGACACCTTTTGGGCAGAAAACCAGAATTTTACCTGCGAAAAACAAAAGAAAAATGTCTTCACAAAGAATTGCCAGTGATAGTTACATTAAAGTGTTTTTGAACTATATTGGGTATGCTAGTATATCAGATAGCTAACAAGTTGGTTTTTCTTTTGTTTTAGATTTAACGGTTTTGCTTGTTTTTTTGCAAAATGTTTATTGCATCCCAACCTTGTAAGTTCCTGAGAGACGAGACTCCCTCATTTAAAAGTCACCTGTCACCTCAAAACTATTTTGTAATATGATAATCCATTTATCAAGTTTTGAAAGGAAATAGATTTTTTTTAATGAGGTATTTGTAAATAAAATAAAAATCCCTACCTTTAGTATATGACAAAATCCTTCAGCCATATGCATACAGCTTTGGTCAGACAGTGTTTGAAAACTAACCATTACAGGATTATTCACTAGAGCATGGGTCGTCAACCTGGTCCCTACCGCCCACTAGTGGGCGTTTCAGGATTCCAGGTGGGCGGTAGGGACTTCGGAGGTTAAAACCGCCTTTTGAGCGGGCAGAAGCGTGCGAGCTCACACATCAATAAACCAATGTGCGCGAGAATGTGTGCGGTAGGGATTTCGGAGGTTAAAACCCCCTTTTGTGCGAGTGGGCGGGCGGGCACGAGCGCACACATCAATCAACCAACGTGCGTGAGAATGCGTGCGGTAGGGATTTCGGAGGTTAAAACCTCCTTTTGTGCGAGTGGGCGGGCGTGAGCGCACACATCAATGAACTAACGCACGCATGCACGCAAACATGTGGGAAGAGGAAGGAGAGGAGTGGAAACTGATAGCAGGGATAGGCAGAAGCAGGCAGAAACGGAGCAGAGCAGTTGCAAAATAGGAGAAAGAAAAGTTATAGGCAGGGGAAAGAGAGAATTGTTGTTGGCTGATAATAATAAGTGGACTAACTAGCTCAGCTTTACTTTTGTACCTAAGGAAGGTAAAAGAAAGGAGATAAAAAGGAAAAGATAAAAAAAATGGAGAAAATTAGATAAAATAAAGGAGGAGAGTAAGCAGTGTTTAGTCTGGCTCATAAATTAAGTTTTTTATCTTATAAAATAAAAGAAAAAAATAAGTAAAGGAAGGAGAAGGAGAAAAAAAAAAAGGGAAAAAGAGATCCTTGATATAGTGATATACCATAAAGAAGTTAAAGCAATAGAAGGCAGGAAAAGGAATTTCTTTTGATGGTGACACTTAATAAAAATTGGCACCTAATACAGCATTGTTTTTGGTGTTTGTAATAAAAAGGAAAAAAGGAGGGAAAAAAGCGCTGTGTGGAGTGCAGATCAAAACGTAAGAATAAAAGTAGTTGTTAAATTGTGAAACAAATTTAGAACCCATGTCTGAAAAAAAGAAATATGCTCGTGGGTATTTACCAGAGTATCTGAAGATGGGTTTCATTGAATCTGTTACAAATAAACAGCTTCCAATGTGTTTACTGTGCCACAAGACATTATCTAATGAAGCAATGAAGCCAAGTCGATTGTGAGAACATCTTGCTACAAAGCATTCGCAAGATAAAGATAAGCCCATTGAATATTTTCAAGAAATCTATAAAAGATTTCAAAATCGTTCAACAATAGCTACATCATTTCAAAAACAACATGCAAAGAATAAGGATGGATTAACTGCAGCTTATCGTATATCACACTTTATGCAAAAAGTGGTAAAAGCCATAATATTGGAGAAACTTTGATAATACCCTCTATCAAAGAATTTATCTCAACAGTAATGCATCAGAATATACCTGAAGTTTTAAAAACATTGCCCCTGAGGGGCGTGGCTTCGGACCGCATGGAAGAGGTCGCATAAGCGGTGAGCTCCGTCACACCGTGGGCTTAACAGCGTGATATCCCAGCACACCAGCCACCAAAAACGGCCCTACCAGGCACTACCACTACTCAGAACAAGATGACAACAAAAATATCGAAAAAAATGAAACAAAAAACGATCGAATCGCACCTGAATGTGCAGCAAGCAACCCCTCTGCAAATCCAAGATGAACGTCAGCAGGGCCGGCCTTAGGCCTTCAGGCGCCCTGTGCGAAAAATCTTAACAGCGCCCCCCCCCGCGCCATCCATGTGTATAGGGGATTTATTAAATGAAAATTTAACAATTAACAAATATTTATCACCTCTTCCCTGTCATTACCTTGCATGGAGGGAGGGCATGCTGATCTCTGGTGATCAGAGCTTTCCTGTGGTAATCCGCGGCAACGTTCTGATTGGCCGGAACTCGGAAGACAGCTACATTTATCATGTGTGTGTCAGACGTGATTGTGTGATGTGTTCTCTGTGTGCCATATTTGTAATGGGTGTATTGACTGTGTCTGATATGTGTGTGTATTGACCGTGTGTGATTTTTGTTCACTATAGCAGTAGATAGGGGGAGCAGGGGCACTGGGGTAGATGTGGGAGCAATGCACTATAGCAGTAGATAAGGGGAGCAGTGTCACTAGGGTAGACAGGGAACAATGGCAATATAGGGGGAGCATGGGCACAATAGGGATGGATAAGGAGCATGGGCACTATAGGGGTAGATGGAGGGATCAGGTACACTATAGGGGTAAATGGGGAAGCACTATAGGGGTAGATGGGGAGCAGGGGTGCTATAGTGGTAGATCGAGGAGCAGGGGCACTATAGAGGTAGATAGGGGGAACTATAGAGATAGATGGGGAACATGGGTACTATAGGAGTAGAGGGGGCACTATAGGAGTAGAGGGGGCACTATAGGGGTAGAGGGGGGCACTATAGGGATAGATGGGGAACAGGTGTACTATAGGGGGAGCAGGGGCACTATAGGGGTAGAGGGGGAACAGGGGTACTATAGTGGGAGCAGGGGCACTGTAGGGATAGATGGGAACAGGGGTACTATAGGTGTAGATGGGGGCACTATAGGGATAGATGGGGAACAGGGGTACTATAGTGGGAGCAGGGGCACTGTAGGGATAGATGGGAACAGGGGTACTATAAGGGGAGCAGGGGCACTATAGGTGTAGATGGGGGCACTATAGGGATAGATGGGGAACAGGGGTACTATAAGGGGAGCAGGGGCACTATAGGTGTAGATGGGGGCACTATAGGGGTAGAGGGGGCACTATAGGTATATATGGGGAACAGGGGTACTATAGGGGTAGAGGGGGCACTATAGGGAACAGGGGTACTATAGGGGTAGAGGGGGGTCACTTTAGTGGTAGAGGGGGAACAGGGTTACTATAGGGGTAGAGGGGGGCCCTATAGGGATAGATGGGGAACAGGGTTACTATAGGGGTAGAGGGGGGCACTATAGAGATAGATGGGGAACAGGATTACTATAGGGGAAGAGGGGGGCACTATAGAGATAGATGGGGAACAGGATTACTATAGGGGAAGAGGGTGGCACTATTGGGATAGATGGGGAACAGGGGTACTATAGGGGAAGAGGGGGGCACTATAGGGATAGATGGGGAACAGGGTTACTATAGGGGTAGAGGGGGGCACTATAGGGATAGATGGGGAACAGGGTTACGATAGGGAAGAGGGGGCACTATAGGGGAAGAGGGGGGCACTATAGGGATAGATGGGGAACAGGGGTACTATAGGGGTAGAGGGTGCACTATAGGGGAAGAGGGGGGCACTATAGGGATAGATGGGGAACAGGGTTACTATAGGGGTAGAGGGGGGGCACTATAGAGATAGATGGGGAACAGGATTACTATAGGGGAAGAGGGGGGCACTATAGGGATAGATGGGGAACAGGGGTACTATAGGGGGAGCAGGGGCACTATGGTCTCACTTACCAGGCAGCAGATTCAGGCCTCGGTTAGCTCCGCCCCCGCCGACCACTTGGCTCCGCCCCCATCGGCAGCTTGGCTCCGCCTCCTACAGTCTCTTTCGCTGCTAAGCCCTGGTAGAGGGCAGGGGGTGTGCAAGCTGTCAGCCATAGGGCGCCCCCTGCTGCCATGGCGCCCTGTGCGGCCGCACAGCTCGCACACCCCTAAGGCCGGCCCTGGGCGTCAGAGACACAGGATCCCCCATACTGGAACCTGAGGTAGGAGACAGCCAAAACAGCTTTCAAAGCACAGATATGACTCCTGCCACAGATGCATCAATAAGCACAATGCTAGATGCATCAATAAGCCCTATGCTCTGATATACAAAAAATGGCATCTGATATAAGAACTGACATCCAGGCACTGGGGGACAGGACAGCGCATTTGGAAGAAAAAACAGAGGGCCTGTTGGAAGCACACAATGACTTAGCAGAGGCGCATGTAGCGCTGGAAAATAAGGTCAAATACTTAGAGGGGAAGATTGCAGATAATGAGGACCGAGATAGAAGGAACAACATTAGGATCCGTGGAATATCTGAAAATGTGGGACCACAAGACCTCCCACAATATGTACAGAAGCTGTTTAAATCTATGGTCCCAACGCTAACTGAAGCCGACCTAAGACTTGACAGAACGCACAGACTGCCCAAACCACGATATCTGGCAGCTACCATTCCCCGAGATGTTATCACTAGAATCCACTACTTCTCGGCCAAAGATCAAATAATGCAGGCCTCCAGGCTGAATATACCCCTTCCGGACGGATACACGGACCTTAAATTGTTCATAGACCTATCAGCGGCCACCATGTTTAAAAGAAGATCATTTGCACCTATAACAACGGCTCTCCGAAACGCAAACATATTGTATAAATGGGGATTCCCTACAAAACTAATCATCAAGAGAAATGGAATAGATCGAGCAATTCTGACACCAGAAGAAGGAAGGAAAATTCTGGGTGAATGGAACGTTCCTGTCCCAACAACTGACCCAAGAAATTCGGACATGCCACCACCCCGTAAAGTGACGAGAGACTGGCAACATGTTCCATGGATCACGACGACCCCTCAAAGCCGAAGAAATCCTCATCCCTAAACCCTCTCCATCTGCGCACATGGACACGTAACTTTACTACTTAATCTGGTTTCATGTTTAACAGGTTGAATGTATATAAGAAGGTGCTGAGGTATGGCACATCTCTGAAGCAATAATGACAAAAAAAAAAAAAAAAAAGCCCACGGTGGGCGCTAGACCACTGCTAACTGTATAACTGCTGTTTTAGCTTTATACCTGCTTCCTTTTTATATGTTTCTATTTTTATTATTTGTAATTTTTCTTTTTACTTTTCTCCTTTCTCTTTACCTCTTCTTCCCTAATCTCCGCCTTCTATACGAGGTGGACACTGGCTATCACAACTTACTTACTTAAAAACCACCGACCCCCACGTAAGGCTTACTAGGTAGGCCCCCACGTACCCGTCTGCAAACCTTTGCACTAGGCCGGAGAGGCTGACGGGCAACTGTACATAGTTCACTTTCCCCCCAATCCCCCTCGATTGACCGTCAGGTCACCATCCCACAGTTTAGGTAACATCCCAACAAACCGGTGCTTGTCCCACCACACCAACTGAACTAGTCGGTGATCAAACCATAACACGTAAAGAAAACTGTACCATGCCACTAAAATTTCTCTCGCTAAACACCAAAGGCTTAAATTCGCCTAACAAACGTAGATTGGCCCTCCAGGAGGCCAAGAAACAAGGAGCACAGGTGGCATTTTTTCAGGAAACCCACTTTCAGTGGGGATCCAAACCCAGGTTCAACTCTGCCTGGTTCCCAGTAGACTACCACACGTGCTACCACAAAAAAAAAAGAGGTGTATCGATACTAATCAATAAGAATGTTGTTTTTGAACTTGTACGAAAAATAAGTGACAAAAAGGGTAGATACCTTATCTTACAATGTCGTATGAACAATCAACCGTATACATTGATAAATGTCTATTGCCCTAATGAAAACCAACAAGTATTTATAGCTAACATGTTCTCTCTCCTGTCAATGTACAGCTTTGGGGAGGTAATCATTGGAGGCGACACTAACTTTCTCCTAGACATCAATATGGACTCCTCAGCCGCGAGAACGGTAACCATATCCACTTCAAAACAGAGACACACACAAACATCCAACATCCGCAGAATACTAACGACACATAACTTTGTAGACCCATGGAGAATTTCCCACCCAGCTGAAATCGATTACACATGCTATACCGCTGCACACAATAGTTATTCCAGAATTGACAGATTTTTAATAAAGAACACATCACTAGAGAGAATGATAAGTGCAGAAATTGGTATCATATCATGGTCAGACCATGCCCCCATTACTCTGACCATATCTGAGCAATACCCCTCCCCTGGCCAAACCGCCTGGAGACTAAACGAATCCCTACTCCAAGATCCAATCATAGTATCCCAAATCAGAACAGACCTCCAAAACTACTTCACAGAAAATGTTCGCTCCGAAACATCGCCAAACTCTGTATGGTTAGCACACAAAGCGGTGATCAGGGGCAGCTTTATAAAACACGCAAGTCAAGCCAAAAAAGTACGCCAAGCTCAATACCTAGAAATCATCCAAGAAATAACGGCACTAACACATAGAAACAAATGCTCACCATCAACCACGACCAAAACAGCTCTCCTGCAAGCTCACACTAAATTACAAAACTTTGAACTGGCCAAAACCACATACCTGCTACAAAAATACAAACACAGGTACTTTGCCTATGGCAACAGAGCAGGAGCAAAACTAGCCTCACAGCTCAAACAAAGATCAGCCGCCTCCAGGATTGCCTTCCTAAACACAAATACTGGTCAGAAAGTCAGTGATCCGAACAAAATTGTAAACGAATTCTCCACATATTATCACAAACTGTATAACCTGAGTGAAGATGGGGGAACGAAAGTCCCTACACTTACAGATATTGACAATTTTTTAGCAACTGTTCACCTCCCATCCCTGTCATCAGATAAAGCACAACAACTCAAACAACCGATATAAAAAATCTAAAGCCATAGCTGACTTACCATCACACAAATCCCCAGGACCAGATGGTCTACCAAATAAATATTATAAAGAATTCTCCAAACTACTACTCCCCCACCTCCTAAACCTATACCAACACAGTTTAGACACGGGAGCCTTACCAGAGGAACTACTGTTAGCTCACATCTCGACATTACCCAAACCAGGCAAACCACCCACCACCTGCAAAAACTTCAGACCAATCTCCCTTCTAAATGGGGATGCCAAATTATATGCGAAAATACTAAGTAACAGGCTCACGGTCATAATAAGCGAACTAATACACAACGATCAATCAGGGTTCGTCAAGGGGAGACAAGGCTCCGATAACACGCGAAAAATTCTTAACATACTAGCTACCATGGAGAGGGGGTCGGTTGGAGGCCTCCTGCTGGCACTTGATGCGGAGAAGGCCTTCGACCGACTCAATTGGGCCTATATGCAGAAAGTATTACAAAGATTCGGCATCCCAGACGAATTTATCAAAGGGATCATGGCGCTATATGTGAAACCGGCGGCCAAGGTGGCCCATGGTGGCTTCCTCTCAGCCACCTTCCATATATCCAATGGGACACGACAGGGATGCCACCTATCCCCCCTACTATATATACTATCCCTCGAACCGCTAGCTCAAAAAATAAGAAATAACGAACGCATACAAGGCGTCAAAATCTTAGGCAAGGAATACAAACTAGCGCTATTTGCAGACGATATCTTAATCACACTAGAAAACCCTCAAACATCAGTACCCCACCTGTTGGAGACCTTGGAAAGGTTCGGGGACATATCACACTACCGTCTAAACCAAGACAAAACGCAAGCACTACCCATCAAACTCCCCTCCTCCACCACAGCTGTGCTCAAAGACAAATACCTCTTCGATTGGAGGACGACCTCACTCACTTACCTTGGCATAAAAATTGCACCCACCATAGCAGGAGTATTAAAAGCAAATTATCTCACACTCCCACATCAATGCAAGAATGAAACACACAAATGGTCGCAAACACACATCTCCTGGCTAGACAGAATAAATGCGTATAAAATGGTGATACTCCCAAAAATACTGTATATATTCAGAATGCTCCCTCTACAAGCACCAAAAACACTGATAAGAACACTACAATCCATATGCAACGCATTCATATGGGAACACAAAAAGCAACGCGTCGCAAGTGCGATACTATACCAACACTCAAAACATGGTGGAGTTGGGTTACCCAACATAGATCTGTACTATAAGGCATCCGCTTTAGCAACAGGGATACTGCTCCACACTACTGAGGGGATCATACAATGGGTGGACATGGAAAAAGCCCAGTTCAGCAACAACTTGGCACTAGCACACTTGTGGACACCAAGAAAATTGAGGTCGTTAAGATCTGATCTATTACCCACAACAAAACATACTATCCAAATATGGACAACATTTCTAGAAAAAGTAGGGGACAAAAATAAATTCCAGGCAGAGGCACCATTGATGGCCCTAAGGGCCATCACGCCAGACATACGCTTACACAAGTGGTCGTTGGCTGGAATAACACACATACACCAATTACTTACATCCCAAACAATGATGACATTCCCCGACATACAACACAAATGGGAACTTCCCAATGACGCGTTCTTTACCTACCTACAACTTAAGGGAATCATTACCACACATGTAAGCAACCAACATTCAACCCATGCTCAAATATCCTTACCAACAAAGGCAATCATAGAAAGGTGCTGGAAACACCCCACAAAACCAAAAACCATTTCCCTATGCTATAAAGCGTGGGAAGACACCATACCTAAAATACCACCACGCTGCAAAACTCAATGGGAACTAGACTGTGCCATCCAACTCACAGACGAAGACTGGCTACATGTACTAAACGGCCTATCTAAATGGACAAAATGCTACACACATATAGAAGCACACAGAAAACTCATGTACAGATGGTACCTAACCCCACACAAACTCCACAAAATATACCCAAACACGACTCCTCTATGTTGGAGATGCTCCGCAGAGGAGGGCACACTTATACATGTCTGGTGGGAGTGCCCCAACATCCAGCCCCTATGGACAGAGGTACACAATACGATCAGAGCACTCCAAATCCCAGATACCCAAAAGACACCCGACATATATTTACTCCTGAGATTTCCCCCGACACTCCGAAACTCGCACAAACAGCTGTGTGCCATTATCGCCCTAGCAGCCCGCAGCCTACTGGCCCTCCACTGGAAATCCACAACTTGCCCAAACAAAACCCAACTGCGGGACAAAATACACCAATTCTACATCTACGAAAAAATGGCCGCTCCTGACGCCAAAACGGCACAGAGGTTTAACACAACATGGTCACCATGGATAGAACTATACAACCGGCATAAGTAAGGTGGAACTGCAAGGTCAGGGACATCCTCTATCACCCTATAACCGCCACCAGTAACCATATGTGTAAACTAAGATAGAGCATAGGGAAGCATACCAGTACCCACCACCAGGTGAACACGGGCTGACCAGATGTTGGGCTGGCGATATGAGCAATGATTGTTTAACCGACTATACAGACCGCTATATGTTACCTAACTGTACATACTCCCAACCGTACCCCAACGTTAATGTTGTACCTGTTATTTGTACTACCTTGATGTACTACTCTCAATTGTATCAATGGTTCAAACTGTATCATTGATGACGAAATTTCAATAAAAAATATATTGGAAAAAAAAAAAACATTGCCCCTTAGCAATAACACAGTAAAGAGATGCATTGACGAAATGGCGGCTAATGTTGAAAATAAACTTATAGGTATTCTCCAAAATTCTTAATTTTCCATACAATTGGATGAGTCTGTCATTGCAGATAATAATGCTTTACTGATGACATATGTACGGTACCTTGATGAAAATAATACATTGCAAGAAGAAATGCTATTCACTGTCAATCTGATTACAGATACAAAAGGATTATCAATATTTAATGCTGTGAAATCATACTTTGCAAAAAATAATATACCCTTGAACAATATTGTTGCATGCGCTACTGATGGAGCACCATCAATGGTAGGCCGCTATCATGGGTTTGTTGCTTACTTGAAGGAAGAAGTTTATTTTTGTGTATTCATTGCGTTGTGCACAGACAACATATTGTAGGAAAACATTTAAGTACAAGTCTCCATTCATCATTAAGTATAATAATTAAAGCTGTAAATAAGATAAAATCTAATGCCAAGTATGATAGAATGTTTTGACAGCTGTGCCAGGACAATAACGAGCATTTTATTAGGTTACATTTACATACAGAAGTTCGATGGCTCTCAAAGGGTACATGCTTGTCTCATTTTGTTGCATTATTTGATAGTGTTGTACAGTTTTTTGAAAGTGATAATGAGGCTGGTCTCTATGAACAGTTAAAAAACTTAAAGAATGATGCCTTTTATTTGGCAGACATTTTCAAGAGAGTTAATGAAATTAATTTGCAGCTTCAAGGAGTCAATATAACTCTTATAAGCTGCAAAAATATTGTGTCATTATTTATCGAAAAGCTTGATCTTCTCCCTCATAATATTTTCAAGAGAGAATTTTATGTTTCCTGAATTGTCCTCTATAAACAATGATGTAACTCCGGGGGATATTGAAAGGTTCAGTAGCCACCTCAAGGAACTCAAATTGGATATGGAAAAACGATTTCAAGATATTTTGAACTTAAAGGTGCATGACTGGATGATACATCCTTTTACAGCAAATGTTGCTGAGGTTGATATAACTTGCCAAGAAGAACTATTAAAACTTAAATATGACGAAGAGAGTAAATGTAATTTTGGCAGTGATGGATACAAAAAACTCTGGCAAAATAAAAAAATGCCTGCGTTATATCTAAATATGTGGAAAATGATGTTCAACTTATTGATACTTTTCCCTACCACATATCTTGTAGAATCAGGCTTTAGTGCTGTTAATCATATTATGAGCAAACAGAGAAACTGTCTGAATATCACCGAAAGAGGAGACCTTCGTTTGTTCCTTACAAAAATCAAACCAGATATAAAATATTTAGTCTCGCAGCATCAGCCTCAAGGATCTCACTAGTAAAGCTAATTTTGTTTTCTAATGAAACTTTATAAAGTTAAGCCCTTAACGCCGTTACGGCGTTCTATGCCGTCTCGCATTAAAAGGGCTTTAAAGCCGTTGCGGCGGCATAGAACGCCGTAACAGCTTTGAGCCCCTGGAGGTCCGGTGGACTTACCTCCGCCGCGATCCTCTTCTGGAGGGCTGTCTGACAGCCCAGCCCTCTCCCGGCAAATGAGGCCTCGCTCTCAAAGAGCCATCACATGGCCCCCTATAGCTGGCTGTGGATCTGCCAGCAGGGGGACTGTCTAAAATGTCAGACAGTCCCCCTGCAGGTGGGAAAGTAAAAAAAAAATAAACATGTTTAAAATAAAATAAATGTATTTTTATATATATAATATATGTATATCTATTATATATATAATATATATATATATATGTAACGTCATACAAAGTGTATTTTAATATTAATATAAGTACATATATTAGTATTAAAATACAATTAGAATGACGTTACATATATATATGTATATATACTATATATATATAATAGATATATACACATATATTATATATATATACATATAATTACGATAATAAATAAATAAAATATTGAAACAAAATGTAATATAAATTATATATTCATATGTAATGTCATTCTAACTGTATTTTGTTATTAATATATATATATTGGTAACAAAATACACTTAGAATGACATTCTATATATATCTATCTATATATAAAATACAAAGAACCGCAAATATATATATATATAGATATACATATAATTACATAAAAGATTACATTAGTATACACGTAGAATTTAAATACCTATAAATGCATATATATTAAAATTCTACTTGTATATTTGAGTAATCTTTTAACATAATTATGTGATTTGATTAATTAAAATTTGATTGACATGCCTGACAACACAGGGAGAAAGTGCAGAGAATTTAATTTTATAACATGATAGGAGGCGAGTATTTGCTTTAGTCTCTCTTTACTAGAACTCCATAGCAGCACAGAAAAACAACCAATCAGAAAAAAGTTAGTTACTATAAAACTCCCCTCCCCATGCATCATTTCCTCTTTCTTTGCTGCTCCGCAGTCAGTACAGGTCAGACTACCACTGCCTCCTGCTTATAGTGGGTGGCTTTGGGATTTTATTGCTTATATTAAGTATTTTAGCCTTATAAATGCAGTATTGTTATAGTCCATGTGGGATTTTATTTTTATAATGCAGTACTGTTAGAATCCTTGTGGATTTTATTCTTGTAATGCAGTTTTGCTATAATCCTTGAGGATTTTATTTTTATAATACAATATTGTTATGTTCCTTGTGGGATTTATTTCTTCATATTCAGTATTTTATTTTCCCTTGTGGGATTTTTATGCTTATATATTGAATATCTTTTCAGAATTTTTTATTTAGGCCTTGTGGGATTCATTTTATATGCAGTATTACCTTGGCCATGTGTAAATATTCCTTACACATGCAGTTTTGTTAAAACCCCTGTGGGACTTTATTTTTACTTGAAACTTCAGGCTATCACTGTTATATACATATTTAGTTTGGATTTCTGGGGGGTCTTTGGGGTCCTCCTGTCCCCTCTATCCCCTTGGCCTTGTCCCCCCTGTCGGTCTCCCAACTTTGTGTATGCTCGTTGTTATATTTTTTTGTTCCGCCTTTGTCCTTATGTCTGGCGGTGTCTGTGTGCGCCGCTTGGGGGCTTCAGGAGGCTGAGTGCATTTGCCTCCTTCGATCCCCGAGCTCCGGGACCGCAGAGTTCATCTTCGGCGGTCCTGTGTGTGTTTTTTCCGGTCGCATGGGAGCTCGAGATGAGCACCCGGCGGCCGGATCTCCTTTCCCACGTGGCCGCCTCCGCCCGTGGACCGCCGTGACCGGGCGGGGGAGGGTGCGACCGCTCGCAGCCCCTCCCCCCGTCTGTTCCTAACTGGTTGGAGGTCTCTTTGAGGGGCTTTCCTCCCCTCTGTCAATCAAGGCCGGATTCCGATCACGGACTGAGTTTTTTTATATCAGATGAGTGCCATTCACTCTGCTCAGGGTTAATCTATAACCCAAGATGACTCCACATTTATATAATTTTATATAAATATTTTTCTGGGCTGGAGAATATGCTTTAGGCAGTACACCCTGTACTGCTCTGAGATGCCTGCAGTTTGGTTTTCTGCCTTTGGCCAAACATTTAAGTCTGCCAGTTCCCTGTATAGTGGTATAGCACTTCATCACTAGTAGCTGTAACATCTGTGATATTAGACTGGAGACATTATAGCAACTTAATCCAGAGGTATTATGTAAAAATACTGTTATAATCACATTACTACCCTGCTAATGGGTTTTACATATTGAAATTATTTAACCCAAGGTTTCCCTGTTTCATTACGCACATATATATATATATATATAGTGGCCTCTACACACGCAGGTGGGCCCTACGGCTGTCGGAACGCTATCACGGTCCTGCTCTGTCTGTGCCCCTTTGATTTTCCTGCTATGTCTGTGCCCCATTGATTGGCCTGCTATGTCTGTGCCCCATTGACTGGCCTGCTATGTCTGTGCCCCATTGACTGGCCTGCTATGTCTGTGCCCCATTGACTGGCCTGCTATGTCTGTGCCTATTTGATTGGCCAACTATTCTGTGCCCATTCGTTTGGCCTGCTGGCCTGCTCTATCGGTGCCTACCCCCTTTTGGCTGCAGGCCTGTGGGAATATCACTGAGGAAAACCCAGTACCCACTAGTGACATGGAGATAGCAAGGTGTCCAGGCAAGCACCGTTGCCATACTATCCAAGAGGACGCCAGTATACGGCCACCTGAGTATGGTGGGAAGGGTGAAGGCCCTAAACCTCATGCCTGAAGGGCAAGGTTTCTTATGAAGACCCCGGGCATGCATCCACGGTTTACACCAGCCCGGCAACGGCACGTCTCCAAGGAGAACTTCGCACAGGCAGGGACCGGTACTCAGACGTCTACAGGGGGACACAGTGTTTCCTTGTCTTTAACAACTAACCCTCTAACTGCCTCCTGATATCCATCTAGATATCAGTAGTAATTCCTGTGTAAGGTTAGCTCCTGGCCCTGTTCAGTGGGGCTTACTTGACTTGCCTTCCAGCCTGCTATTTGCCTTCTATCCGAGTTAGAATTTACGTATTTACCCTTATCTACATTTCTTATTGTTTTTGTGCCTTCCTTTTCCCATCGCTCGGGTCGTCGAGAGGCCTGACTTGACCTCCTCCGACCTCCTGGGCGCTCGTGGATTGCGGAGAATGTCTCCAGCTTTCCTCAGACTACCGACGGTAGTCCTTGACCCCGCGCGTGCGCACGGGATCCGGGCGGTCAGTTGGTAGTTTCCATCATTGTTTCTGAAGGTTGCATTTTCGCACCATCCCTTTCTGTTATTAAGAATGGACACGGCCCGAGGTTGTATACTATCCCATCTGCCATCGGTCTGGTTTACTACCAGTTGATTCCTTTTCAGGTGAGCGATTCAGAGAGAGGTCTTGTGGTCGGGGAGAGACCCACCTAAAGACCTCAGTCTTATGCTGATGTTAGTAATTGGTGTACCCCTACAGTTGGTCACCCTGAGTCTAGTTTGGATCACAAGAGGGTACGGCCCTCCATCACCTCGATCCGAGAATGATATTTTATTTTCAGGAACAGAGAGCAAACCCCTCTCATATACAGAACTGGACACTGATTTGTTATTAGAGGGCGCGGCCCTCCCTCAACCTCAGCCCGATACTGAGTGGGATACAGAGGACATGTTTGGAGTGACACATTCTCATAGAGAGAATCGGTCACGGATGTAGACTCTACTATTAACGGGTGCGGCCCGCTCAGGCTATCAGCCGGACGCTGACACGGAATTCGGTCACATTATTAGAGAGCGCGGCTCTCTCATACACTCAACGCTCTATGGTGCCGTCCATTTGTTCATCCCACAGGCTAGTACCTGTACAAGACCTCGATGACTGCATAGAGGGGCGTCCCTCATGCATTCAATTAGATCTAATGACAGTGCTACTGATTTCCTTATAGAGGGCTGCCTGATCATGCAGGATATACATATTTAGACTGGATTCCTCTATTTTATCTCCTGTAATGGATCTACTGGATCCGGACCACTGTACCACACGCAAGAAATACTTACAGAGGTATAACGGGGGTAGACTCCCACTTATTTACACACACTCCTGGAGACGATACGGCTAACGGGTGAGCCTCAGGTATTACAAGAGTGCAGGTTTTGGTATATTCTGCGCTATATAAAACAGAGAATTGCATTCTGTTTTGGATATCTGGACCATTGCGAACAAACTGTGCAGACAGTTTTCCCATATCAAGATGACATGAGATACGGAGACCTTCATGGAGCAAACGGGCACTGCCTTGCTTGGGTAACAAGACTAGGGAAGGCCTACTACCTGGTCTGAAAGTACACCATATGCATGGATCGCATGGTAAGACCGGAAACCCCGGTCATCTTGTGTTCCCTGGTCATTACAATCTTGGGATAAGATGGCAGGCCTGCCCCTACTCCTCTGAGCACATACCTGGAGAGATGGAGGGCCCTCTATACTCTATATATCCCTCATGGGAGCCGTTTTGGTTTGGGTTTGCGCTAACCCACCTTTTCAACTACCATCAAGGAGACCTGCGAGACTCTATGGAGGAACCTGGTGTGCCCCGACTCCTACACAGACGTCAAAGTCGGGTCACAATCTACCACTGGAGTACGGCTCAGGATGTGTAGCAGACTCAGATACGGCTGCCGACATTCTCAAACGGGACAACACATGTTTCGGTCGGCTGAAGCTAGACCCTTCTTTTTTCGCTATATCTGCTCTCTGGAGTCACCTGTCATGAGCGAACGGACTTTACACCTTGCCTGCGTATTGGAGAACGCTACGTGTTCACGGAACTGCAAGCTAAGAAGGGAGGTATCCCTCTATAGGGAGACTTTGACTTCAATTATCAAAATCACATTCCTGGGTCCCTTGACCTAGGGTCTACTCTGGGAGATACATGCCCGGACAGTCAGGGGTACAGGGACCTAAGGGTCTCACTATATTATACCCTATCTTGTAGGTGGCGTGTATACCAGGAACCCCTACACGAATTTTGACAGGTCGGGCATGGAACAGGATCGTACGACAGGTATTCGGACTATTTCACTCTCTCACTACAGCACGTGAGGACTCTTCGTTGTTATACAGATCCCAATTGCCATTGGATCCGTACATCTCATCACTCTTAGACGTTGACATCTGGATGGGAATCTCAACTCCGGTTTACGTTTCCCATCCCTTTGAATATTTCCGGGACCCGCTATTTCCAGAATAGTCGACCACCGTTCCACCACATAAGTTCAGTTTGGGACCCTCATTGGACGTCATTTTTGGAGTCCTTTCTCTACCGCAGCTGTGGATAAAAAAGTCCAGTTGGAATATTGGAATCACTTTGGATAGAGCTAGTTTGCCACACTCTTGCCTGCATAATAAATGTATTCTCGGATGAGACATCTCACCGGGTAGGCCATCAGGGAACGAAAGATCCTACTCGGTTCTATTGCAGAATTGGTGGACTTAGGCGCATTCCTTGAGATTGAAGATCTGCCTGCAAGGCCACATCGCCGGGTGACCTGGGCACGATCGGTGGAACCACCTTACACATCAAGAGATGAGACATGGTGGCAGTGTCTTATTGCGGCCCTAAGTCCGCAAATGACCTTCGACATTTTATAACTACAGGGAAATGGCTAATAGGTCAGCTTGGCAGCTCATGGACTGGCTGGTAGGAAACAGGTTGCAACCCCACGTACAATGGATCTATCAGCGGATGGTGTTTTTTTCCGTATTTGGGATGCTTCGTCAACTGGCATCTTCAACGATCGGTCTATTGTCATTTATCTCAGTTGGAAAGTCCATTTAGGATTGCTCGGATAGTTCCCGGAATAGGTACCAGCGAAACAAAGAGCGTTGGATTTGTTGATTGAACGTTAAAACAGCAAATACGAAGCCTCCTGTCATGTTATAAAATTGTAGATTTTGCTAGCTTTAGTGTACCTATAATCTTAATTTTATTAATGACAGGAGGTGAGTATTTCCCACCCATTCTTATCCCTCCCTTGTTTAATTTTAATAGTTTGGAATAATCAGGTACGTATGCATCTCTGCTTGTTGTCTCTGCTACCTGTTGCCTGTTCTTATGTCTGTTTTTTCATAAGTATGTTTGGGATATCTACATATTAAGGTACCTTTGGTTGCTACATTGGGTACCTACATGTTTATTCAGAGTACATTTCATTGGATAATCAACCTGTTCGATTCTGTTTTTCTCTCGTTTCAGTTCACAGTCCATCAACGCTATCTGGTTTGGCAGTTCTTCTCGGATGGTTGACATTGTTGTATTCATTGTATGTAGGACTTTGTTTCTTCCCCATTATGTTTTCTTCCTTTTATTCTGTTTTTGTCACAGCTTAAAAGAGGAAATGATGCATGGGGAGGGGAGTTTTATAGTAACTAACTTTTTTCTGATTGGTTGTTTTTCTGTGCTGCTGTGGAGTTCTAGTAAAGAGAGACTTAAGCAAATTCCTGTCATTAATAAAATTAAGATTATAGGTACACTAAAGCTAGCATAATCTACAATTCGCAAGCACTATATTTGACCCTTTAACTCTCCAAGACACCATAAAACCTGTACATAGGGGGTACTGTTTTACTTGGGAGACTTCGCTGAACTCAAATATTAGTGTTTCAAAATGATACATTGTATTACAATGATGATATTTTAAGTAAAAGTGACGTTTTTTGCATTTTTTACAAACGAATGGCACTTTTATGGACTATATTATTGTTGTAATATGTTTTACTGTTTTAAAACACTAATATTTGTGTTTAGTGAAGTCTCCCGAGAATAACAGTACCCCCCATGTACAAGTTTTATGGTGTTTTGGAATGTTAGAGAGTTCCCATATAAGGCTTGCATTTCATTTTTTTGACATTGAAATGTGCCAGATTGGTTATGTTACCTTTGAGAGCGTATGGTAGCCCAGGAATGAGAATTACCCCCATGATGGCATACCATTTGCAAAAGTAGATAACCCAAGGTATTGCAAGTGGGGTATGTCCAATCTTTTTGAGTAGCCACTTAGTCACAAACACTGGCCAAATATTAGTTTTTTGCTTTTTCACACAAAAACAAATATGAACGCTAACTTTGGCCAGTGTTTGTGACTAAGTGGCTACTAAAAAAGACTAAAAATACCCCACTTTCAATACCTTGGGTTGTCTACTTTTTCAAATGCTATGCCATTATGGGGGTAATTCTCATTCCTGGACTACCACACCTTCTCAAAAGTAACATTACTAATCTGGCAAATTTCAATTTGAAAATGGAACGTTCTATATTTGACCCTGTAACTTTCCTAAACACCTTAAAACCTGTTAATGGGTACTGTTGTCCGCGTGAGACATCGCTGATTACAAATATGTGCATTTTTTTTGCAGTAAAAACAGTATTATGACATTAACAGCTAAAATGTCAGACGGAAATACAAATTTAAAAAAAAATCTTATTTTCTCACATTTTTTTACATTTTATTCATAATAAATTATGTTCCATATATGAATAGTTAATGATAAATTAAAGCCCTGTTTCTCCTGAACAAAATGATATATAATAAGTGTGGGTGCACTTAATGTGACAGCGATGAATTATGGTTGAACAGACGTATAGCGCAAATTCCAGTTTTCGTTACGTTTTGTTTTGATCAGAACGTGTACTATTGACTCCGTCCTGAAGGGGTTAAAAACATTATAAACATGCATAAAGTAGAAATAAAAAGATAAATGTACATACTTTTTTTTTTTAACACACCCTCCTTTCTTAGAAACATAGAAACATAGAATGTGACGGCATATAAGAACCATTCGGCCCATCTAGTCTGCCCAATTTTCTAAATACTTTCATTAGTCCCTGGCCTTATCTTATAGTTAGGATAGCCTTATGCCTATCCCACACATGCTTAAACTCCTTTACTGTGTTAACCTCTACCACTTCAGCTGAAAGGCTATTCCATGCATCCACTACCCTCTCAGTAAAGTAATACTTCCTGATATTATTTTTAAACCTTTTGTCCCTCTAATTTAAGACTATGTCCTCTTGTTGTGGTAGTTTTTCTTCTTTTAAATATAGTCTCCTCCTTTACTGTGTTGATTCCCTTTATGTATTTAAATGTTTCTATCATATCCCCCTGTCTCGTCTTTCCTCCAAGCTATACATGTTAAGATCCTTTAACCTTTCCTGGTAAGTTTTATCCCGCAATCCATGAACTAGTTTAGTAGCCCTTCTCTGAACCCTCTCTAAGGTATCAATATCCTTCGGAAGATACGGTCAAAAGCTGTCAGAAGTGGGATTTGAACCCACACCTCCATGTGGAGACCAGAACTCCAATATTGTGTAAGAAGTTGATCTTGAGTCTGGCGCCTTAGACCGCTCGGCCATCCTGACACTGTGTCTTAACCAATATTCTGCACTTGTGCAAAAACTGGTGGGCGGTAAGGAAATTTTTCCATCAAGAAAGATGCATTAGTGGGCGGTAGGTAGAAAAAGGTTGACTACCACTGCACTAGAGTGAGGATTGCCAGGAATTTAATTGAATTCAAAGGGAATTTCAAAAGTTTTGCAAATAATGCCAAATTGGATAAAATCCCTAAATCAATTCTGCTTTCAGTTTGGCTATTTTGCCCTAGAATTTAAAACTCACTTTGAATTCCTGGCAATTATTTGAGTGAATAAAATTGAGTTACTCTCTATGGTTTTCCCTGCTTCACTCCCTACATACAAGCAGGGAAGACCATAGAGACTAACTGTTGGTTTTCAATGTCTGATTCAAGGTGCATGTATATGGCTGAAGTATCCTGTCATACACTAAAGGTAGGGATGAGTCTTTCTCATTTGTTTACATATACTTCATATATTTTCTTTTCAACTTTTTTTTTTTAGCAGTTTGTCTGCTGGCTGCTTGTGAGGAAATTAATAATAATTTTAGCGGTAGATAGGTTTGGAGCAATGAATCTCTAAGGAATATTCACATGCAGTTTTTAGACCTATTGTGCACCACACCTGTAAGTTATTTAGTTGTTAATGTTATTTCTTTTGTTTTCCTGAGAGGATCCTGTTTATCCCGTTCTACCAGAAATGATTACCTACCACTAGAGGACAATCCTTCATTGATGAAAAGGGCACCAGCTTCTAGGTAGGGCCTGATGTTAAAGCGTGGGTCATCAAGAACCATAAACCCCTTGTACTTGATGGATAGATTATCGTAAGTTGTCCTGTCCAGTTGGTTATTCGCATCACCTTCAGCGGCATTCAAAATATAAGTAATGTTTAGGTCTTGTAGAAGGGCTGTGTTTTTGGCTGCTTCTCTGTATATTGAGAGAATTACACTTTTTAAAAATTTGACAATTTTAATTATTTTCACAATATTACAGCAATACTAGGTAGGGAGTACATAAGGAAAGGGGGGGTGGGGGGGTGGGGACAAGAAGATACATGTATACACAATGCATTTACCCAAATGCAAGGGCGAACAAGTTTCACCATTAAGTCAGTTTACATATGCCCATGTCTATGGCAATACAGCCACTCCACACTTATGCTCCTCACTAACACACCTGAGATACTAGGGTTGGTAATTGATCAACCTCAATCATTACAGTGGTCGGTTAGAGAATAGACAAGAAAATATATAGTCTCGGAAATGCTCAAACTTGCCCTAAATATCTTAATAAACATGTTCTTCCAGCACTCTTTTTGAAGGACATGTAAAGTAAGCATATATCTGCTAAATTAGTTTTACAACTCAAATGCCTCCCCCAGTTAGATGTCTTTATGATAAAAGGAGAATGTGTCGCCTAGCCAGTGTAAGCCAGAATATTCATATTGCATAGTCTATATACTTTAATACTTAATATTAAATAAACAAGGAATCTGTATACATTGAATTGTACTAACCTACATCCTGAACCTTAGCAGAGAGAATTTAATACTGAAGACTGCTACAATCTCAAAATTGCTGCCACTATAAGTGCACAAGACTTGTCATATTGTTTGTCACATTGTATCTTTCTATTGTAGGTCAGTGTCCATTATGTTATGTAATTTTACTTACTTGTCTCCCAAAAAGATGTTGGACCACACTTGGTCAATGTGGTTAACGCGTGTCGAGGATGTGATATTTTGCTCTTCGGATCCTTGGACATCACATGTTATACTGCATTCAGTGTCCTTGGGCTCTGATGCAGTGAGCTTAGGTGAAGACATCCTGATGTGTTGTAGCTAAATTATAAAAAATATTTGTAGTATTCAAAAGTAGCCACCAGAGGGCTTTACTTGAAATATTTAACATCATTGTAAATTTGCCACTAAGCTCTAAAATTCCCTTATCCAGTGCTAAAAATCTATAAAAATAGCCAGACAGGGAAAAATGTAAAGAGAATAATGTTAGGCAAGCTAGATACAGGGGCAACAATCATTGAGATTTCCTCTAACTATAACTGTATGATATTAAAAGGATTCTAGGAATACAAAGTTGCAATCGTTATTTATTTATTTAAAACATTTTTACCAGGAAGGATACATTGAGATTTCTCTCATTTTCAAGTATGTCCTGTGTTGACAAAACATTGCATTGATACAATAGGGTACAATAAAATACAAAAACAATATTAATACACAAACAAAATATAACATAGAACAGGTAGGAAATATGTAATCAACCATGGCCATGGTGCATTCTGTTTTGAGATATGTAGAGAGGGATCTCTTAAAGGATTTTAGGCTTGGGGAAGATTTGAAAGAGTTCGAGAGGTTGTTCCATAATTGCGGTGCTCTGTAGGAAAACGAGGATCAGGCTGCTTTCTTTTTGTATTGATGTAGACTAAATAAAGTGCTGGTACTGGATCGGAGGTTATAGGAGGTGGGAACAGCCAGGGAGAGCATTCTGCTCAGGTAGGGAGGGAGCTTCCCAGAAAATCTCATAAACACAAGGCTGGAAAGATGAATGGTACGTCTGGATTCCAGCGACAGCCAGTTTAGTTCTTTTAGCATGTCACAATGGTGGGTCATTTAATTACATTGTAGCACAAATCGTCAGAACAAGTTATACAATGTATTAGCTTATTAAGGTGGGTTTGCGGTGCAGGTGCATATACTACATCCCCATAATCAATGATTGGCATCAGCGTTTGCCTTAAAATCTTTTCCTTTACTGTAGTGCTTAGGCAGGATTTGTTTCTGTACAGGGCACCTAGTTTTGGATAAAGTTTAGATGCAAGTTTTTCTATGTGGAGGCCAAAGATAGATTGGGGTATTACAACATACCCAAGTATTTGAAAGAGTGGACTGCGGTCAGTGTGCGATTTGATTTTGTTTTGATGGATAGGTGGGAATTTGTGTAATTTAGGTACTGTTCCTAAGATCATTGTGACAGTTTTGTGAGTGTTTAGGAAGGGTTTGTTTTTTGTGATCCAGTTTTCTCCCTCTGTGAACTGGTCTTGGTGCACAGCCTGAAGCTGCAGTAGATTGGATTTGCTCGCATAGATTACTGTGTCATCTGCGTACATGTGTACATTTGAGGATTGGCAGACATTAGGCAGATCATTTATAAATAATGTGAATAGTAGGGGGCTGAGAATGGAACCTTGGGGAACACCACACGTGACTGGGAGAGGGAAGGAGTCGCTGTCAGAAATGGACACATATTATGATCGATCCGATACATATTATTGAAACCAGGATCGCCAATACCTGAGTTTTTTTCATTTGTGCAGTAGAATGTTGTGGTCTTCTGTGTCAAAGACCTTTGCAAAATCAAGGAAAATAACTCCAGTTAGGTTTCCTTGCTCCATGCCAGTTTGGATGTCATTGCAAACTTTTAAGAGGGCGTTTGTAGTGGAGTGATTTGGGTGAAAACCTAATTGATCAGGGGTCAGATACTTAGATTGATGGTAATGCTTACATAGTTGCGTATGGACGCATTTTTCTAAGATTTTTGACAATACTTGGAGCAATAATATTGGGCGATAGTAAGAAACCAAAGTTGTGTCACCACTTTTATGGATAGGCACTACTCTTGTAGTCTTCCAAAGTTAGGGTATGTACTCAGACACCAAGGATTCTTTAATTAGGGTTGTGACAGGTTTAGCAATTGCCGGTGCACTGAGCTTCAACAGCATCGCTGGGATTTGATCAGGTCCAGACAGTTTTTTCATTTTTAGATTATTAAGATGTTTTTTAATGAAACTAATAGGTACATGTCTAAAATTGAACTTCTCTATATTGGGTCTTTGCAAATTTAGCGGGGCCTGATCCACATTTGTAGTTTCAGGATGTGTGCCATTTATTAGCTTCGCAATCAGGGTGGTGGAGCATCCGACAAAATAATTGTTAAAGGCATTTACTACATTTAAGGGAAGTTGCAGGGTTTGGTTATCCACTTTGACAGTGGAGAATTGGGAGTGGATTGGGGGAGTTTGTAATTTATTTATGACTTTCCAAAAGTTTCTAGGGTTTGAGATGTTATTGTTCAGATTTTAACTGAAATATTGGGACAGAGTACAGAATATTTGATAGAGTCCTAACCTCAACATCTGAGGAAAGGGATTTAGGGGTGATTATTTCTGATGACTTAAAGGTAGGCAGACAATGTAATAGAGCAGCAGGAAATGCTAGCAGAATGCTTGGTTGTATAGGGAGAGGTATTAGCAGTAGAAAGAGGGAAGTGCTCATGCCATTGTACAGAACACTGGTGAGACCTCACTTGGAGTATTGTACACAGTACTGGAGACCGTATCTTCAGAAGGATATTGATAACTTAGAGAGGGTTCAGAGAAGGGCTACTAAACTGGTTCATGGATTGCGGGATAAAACTTACCAGGAAAGGTTAAAGGATCTTAACATGTATAGCTTGGAGGAAAGACGAGACAGGGGGGATATGATAGAAACATTTAAATATATAAAGGGAATCAACACAGTAAAGGAGGAGACTATATTTAAAAGAAGAAAAACTACCACAACAAGAGGACATAGTCTTAAATTAGAGGGACAAAGGTTTAAAAATAATATCAGGAAGTATTACTTTACTGAGAGGGTAGTGGATGCATGGAATAGCCTTCCAGCTGAAGTGGTAGAGGTTAACACAGTGAAGAAGTTTAAGCATGCGTGGGATAGGTATAAGGCTATCCTAACTATAAGATAAGGCCAGGGACTAATGAAAGTATTTAGAAAATAGGGCAGACTAGATGGGCCGAATGGTTCTTATCTGCCGTCACATTCTATGTTTCTATGTTTCTATTGGGCCTTGACCAATTTTGTTTGTTTTGTGCATATTTCACCATTGTCTATATGCACAGTGATCGTTCAGTAAGCTTGAACTTTGACCACAATGAGTCCTGAAACTGGTACATTTGAATGAGGTCAACTGTGATCCAATTCACACGTGCCCCTTTTACTTTCACTTTACTCAGCGAAGCATGCAAATTGCAAACTTGTAGGAGTTCAGACTGAAAGAATAACAGAACATAATCTGTCCTGAATAGTTGGGATCCTAAATAAACGTAACACTTAAAATCTAACGTTTAATAGATATAGTTTAAAAAAGGTTCAGTATAGGTAAAATATATACCGGGATAAGGATATATACAAGCTAGTAAGACTAATAGATACTTAGTAATAAGGTCAGTGACTGAAAGAAGTAACTGTCTGGAAGTATCTAATAATATTCTAACAATAGTAGGGAAGATAAGAATCTCTTGTGTTACAAAAATTAGAACATAGAGGGAGAAGATCACCTAAATATCTAGTTCAATAAAATTGAACTTGTAGTGAACTCCTGTCTCAAACCTTTTATTGCAAATCAATTAAGAAAAGTTGTGCATATGGTTATAGTATACAATCTGTGATATAAACATAGGGTGTCCAGGCTTAGAGTTTTGAGGGTTAACAAGAGAAAATTGCTTGTGCTGATCAGTAAGAGTAATGCAGTGAAGTCCCGATCTGTATCATGGTTAATTGTAATGTCCGCTTAATACTAGAAGTCTAGCATGGAAAAATGCCAATTTCTAACTGTTTTGTCCATTTGAATTGTTGGAAGGTATGGTGCTGCCCAGCCGCGCCAATTTTTAACTGGCCTCTTGTTGTCTCCCAAAGATCACTTCCACTTCAGCCATTTTGATACTGTGAAAGTACTTTATCAAGTGTGATTATGTTTAACTTGGACAGAAATGATAGGTACTAGAGGTGGCCCAGTTCCCTGTATTGACTCTGTCCATCACTAAACAGTTTACTGAAGGCACAGCTACCGAATATTGTGCTATTCCCATAAATTAATTAAATTATTCATAGATAAAGTCTACTCACTGGCTGTGTTGAAAACGATCTCCTTCAGCAGGGCTGCACAGGACAAATGACACCCTCACCTAAGTAAGGACATGATGAGGTTTGTGTTTTTATTGTGATGTCAGTCATTACAGGAGAAGTAAACATGAAGTCTGGATGTGTTGGGTTGGTGGAGCGCTTAGTATGCTTAGATAATGATATATAGCCATAATTTCCTGTTTAGATGCCAGGGGAACTTTTTACAATAGACAGTTCTTGAGTCCGGAGAATGACAACCTAAAATTATATAATATTTTGTATTAAATTCCATGTGAAAAAAAAACTTACTACCACTGGTTCAATGCTACTACTGCTTTGATGAGACCATGTATCCCTAGAAGTTAGTTACTGAAATAAAGTTTTTGACATTTTTGCAATTATCCTGGAAATGGTCACGTATCTTTTTCATCAATGGGGAGCTACTGATTGGCTTAGAGTGTCAGCTGACCGCTCTATCCAATAAGCGGCGCCCCTGCCTGGTGGCACTCCGTGCTTCCTGTGCCTGAGATTAAGAAGCAGGGTGCTGCCTGGGTTACCTGGAGATCATTGCTGGAGGCAACTTCTGAGGTTAAACTGTTCGAGAACGGTTTAACCTCTTAAGGTAAGAGTGCATCCGGGACCCTAATAGCACAAATTAATTTAAATAATGTTGTTATGGTGACCACAGTGTCACTTTAATCTCAGTTTTTCCTCAATTCCTACAGTATGTATGTCTGTCCACTTTTTCATCTCTTATTACCGTGTTTCTCCGAAAATAAGACCGGGTCTTATATTAATTTTAGTCCCAAAAAACACACTAGGGCTTATTTTCAGGGTAGGGCTTATTTATTTATGGTACCGGTATGTACATTGAACCCCCCCTTTAATTAATCCACCCCCCTTTAATA